GGTACACAACTTGAGTTCAGGTTGTGCGCCATCTTGGTGCGCATACTTCAGGAGGTCCGTGATTTTTTATGTATTTCATCTCCCGACTTGGCTATTTACCTAATATTTGGATAGAATTGGATTCACGTTTATCGTGGGAGCCGATGGTCAGTCAGTAGTTTATTTTTCACCAAAATGAAAATGCACTCACAGTGAACATAAACTCAGAAAAGTTGAAAATGACATTTTATGGTGGAAGGTGGCGCGAAAAACCAAAGTTGGTTATCGAGCAGCGACACCTGTGATAAGAGTCTAACTTTGATACAAGTTTAATAAAAATAAGACGAACAATATATATATAAATTAATATATCGATAAGACGGCCTAATCCCATGAGTCCGTTAGTCCGGTAACCAGTCCATGGCGGGTATGGGATTAGTTATCCAGTCATTTGTTTCACATAGACGCACTTGTTGGTGGAGGAAGTCATCATACGGCGTAGAGGGGGACAGCAATCCTCTCGCACATAATTGACCTCGCATGGGATTCGAACCTGTGAACCCAGAATGGTTAATCAGCGTATTCCTAACGCTTAGCACGATGCGCCACACCGCCGAGCCATTTTCTCGAATTTCACTATTTCTGTTCAATAAATTCGAAAATCTCTCTAAATGTGTAACTGTTTCCAACCTGTACCTGAATTGTAATCACTGATTGTCTACTATTTTTGTTACATCTAATAACTGTAACTATTAACTAATCAGATTTCCAGGACAGGATAGGATTCACCTATTTATTCCAGGGGTGAAGAAAACCGAAGCAATTCCTAAACTTGCCTCTGTTTAGGATTATTTTGTTGTAAAATGATATTCTAGGTCGTATTATCGCTCTTCCCAGCCGTACCAAGGAAACATTGCCGTTGTTGCTTTATTTTTTATCAATTATAATTATGACTGTTTTTTTTATGACCGACAAATCTTCAATCTCTCCCCTCACAAATTTAAAACTGTTACAAACCGTTATTGGACACGAAGTGGACATAACGATCGTTTCAATATTATGTTGTTGTTGTTCTCGTTTCTTGACACGTTTTTAAAAAGTCGCTTTTCTCTTCGAATACTGCACCAATTGCTTTGAAATTTTCAGTGGTTAAAGATAAAATTTTTCTCTAGAAGGCTATTACTTTTTTTTTCTCGCTATGACGTCATCAAAATTATTGCCATTGGGTGGCGCTACGTGTCCATATATTTGAGCATAGCTCTCTTGTATTTCGAAATTTTTTTTTTTAAATTGTCTCCGTGCACCACAGTAGTTTACTAGCTACGTCAGTCTTTGTTGTTACATTGTTGATGTTTGTTGAGCGATAAGGAGCTATCTCGATGTCTCGTGATTTTTGTTTAGTTTATAGAGCTTATTTGTTTACTTCATTGACTTTATAGATTCCTTAATAGTGTTTAATTGAAAACTAGAATTCTGGTGCACAATGAAGGGTTGTGGTTAACTTTGTATTTAGGTCAGACTCTCGAGTTTTAATGCTAGAACGTAATGACGTACGAACATATTTTTTTCATTTTACATAACATGGTAAAATGACGTACTATAGTACTATATTCGGATCTAGTGCAGTTTCGTACCGAAAGTACTTCCAGTGGGCGTAGCAATCAATCAAGTTTATTTTTTTTTTCCAACCAGTAAAAAATAAATAAATAACACAGGCACAAATTACAAGAAAATAATGGAGTACACAGTTTTACTGGGAAGGGAAGTCGCGGGGAATCAAAGCTAGTTATGGAGCAGCGACACCCGAAGTACCACTGTTATTACTGTATTATTGGATGAACAATAAATAAGGTGGACACTAATCACAATAAATACGTTGAGCAATAGTTTTTTAGAGGGGAGGGGGAGGCACTAATTTTTTTTATATTTTGAATGTTAGAGGGCTGTTTTTCTAATTGGGCACTAGTTGCAAAATTTGTTATTATACGAAAAAAATTGTTATTGGGCAAAAATTACAGAGCATGGAAATAGCAGCAATACAATAATAATATAATTGAATACGTACAGGCGTAAGGAAATAAACATAGTCTTTTTTTTATCTATCCATAGCCATCAAGTAGAGGAATTTTTAATGGGTTACTGAATGTTGCAAGTTCTTTACTATTAGACGGAATTTATTTCCCAAATTAGAACATATGATTTTCGAAGCGATACATAGATTTGGCAATTTCAGAAAGATAGATAGATATCTTTCAGTTGTAATACTCCTCACTGCTTGTATAAGAGTGAGTTATGAACATGCTGTAATTCTGCAGAGCTAATTGCCTTGTTATTCTGAATTAATAGTGGTTTTAGCGTAGTTTTATTGGTTCCTCCCCAACTGATAATGCCATATTTCAGATGAGAGTATATAAGACTATATTATACAATTTTTAATGCATCGATACCGAGGATTTTACGTAACTTATACAATATTTCGAGTGATTGTGAAACTTTTTACATAAGTGATCAATCTATAGGAGGTTTCCATGACAAGTTCTCATCTAGGTTTATATCCAAATAGTTGATACATTTTGTTCTTTCTATCTTTTTATTGTCAATTTGGAGATGGAACTGCCAAGTAGATTGCCTGGAACCAAAAACCATGAGTTTAGTTTTTGAAAGGTTTAAAGATAATTTATCTCGATTTTTTTATTGATCGAAATCTGCAGTTTTTCACAGCACGGAGCAGAATGGGTAGCATAACAATTTTTGCATATGTTAACCCAAACCCCCATTTCACCACGCTATCAAAAAACTACGCCACTTTGGCGTCACAGTGACGTAATAACGCCCTTCAAACTATATGAACTGTCATCCAAGGCGTGCAGACGAGCACCTGAAATCGAACAGCTATTTCTCTCATTGCAACGATCCCAATATGAGAGAGATCGCTGATGTCAGTCAGTTTTTTATCATCGGCGCAGATGCTATTTCGGGCAATCGTACGTATACTTGGCAAGCTCTATGACGTGATTGCAATGTCGTAGTGTCTTAATTTTTGGATAGAGTAGTAGGGTAGGGGTTAAAATTGACATGTCGAAAAATTGTTGTGCGACGCCCACTAGGAGTACGTTAGGTATGAAACTATACAACCCCCCTATATTTAATTTTAATTTTTAAACTCGAAATGAGTCATATTGTGCTCGCTTTGTTCACCTTCATGGTGTTTTTGCATCATTACAAAGGTGGCATCAAAACTAAACTGAGCTCTGGAACTTGAGTTGAGAATCCATTTGTAGAATTCTTATGATCGTCGTCTGTCGCGAGATATTAAACTTTTAGGTAGCATAGCTTGTTACGGCTTACTTTGCCCCAAAAAGCCCATCCATATGAAATAACACTGTCTGTATTGTTTTACTCCAGCACTGTAGTAATGTACACAGTCTGACAGTTGAACAGCGTTGAGTCTGTGAATAGTTAATTGATGCCAAAGTAACCAAACCATCTCCAACATATTTCACTCAGCAAGATTCAACTTGAGCATTCTACCTTCTGACTTTAGGATAAGTATTCAAATGTTTGAATAATATGGTAAAATAAACTTATAATGAATGATGAAAACTAAAGATTTACTGATTTAACTCAATGTTAAAGAGTAATTTTTCTGGCGCCTGACACATCACACATACATGCCAAGTTTGAAAGTCATCGATTATTTCATGCTATATACGAACCTATAAAATTGATAATATACTTTTGAAATTTGTGACCTGGTTACCATGTTACTCACAAAAGTTTCTTTACCAGTCTTGCATGTTTCATGCTTGCCACCCCGTCCCAATCGAGTTGGTGTTAGAGTGATTGCCTTACTACAGGGGTCGGCAACCTACAGCGTACTATTATCCGGCCCTAGACGCGTCACTGAATTATAGTAACAAAACAGCTGTTTTGAGGATTATATTCATTACGTAACAGAATTAGACACGAGTAGACTAAATTATATTTTAACCTAACACAGTGGTTCTCAAACTTTTTAAAGTTGGGACCCTCTATTTATTACCACAGCTTATGTCGACCCATCTCGTGATTTTCTACGATGTAACACAAAACACCTCTTCCAAAAAAAACAGTGCTATTCTTCAAAAGTAAATAAATCTAAATCCTGTCTAAGTTTTAGGGGAACACGGTAAGAAGTGCTGTACAGTGTACAAAACTGCTATGCGTAAAAAAGTCATGTGGTCATTCTTTGTGTAGCAAATATTTTGATCCTTCGAGAAGATCGTAAAAAGGAAACTTTCACAGATTCAATTTATTTTTTTTTGTTTTTTTTTTAAGATTTACGTATTCGAGTCGCCACCGATCCTAATAACCAGTATAATTAATCAAATCTTTCTACATCATTTCACGACCCACAAAGATTCTATTTGCGACCCATCAGTGGGTCGAGACCCATGCTTTGGGAACCGCTGACTTAACAAGTATAATAATTCACAATTACTTGTTTAAAGAGCCTATAAATTAATTATAATTAAACAAATGACAAAAAAAACGCAGAAAAGTTGATGCTAAGTGCAAAGGGTTCAATGGCGCCGAAAATATTCAAATGGAATTGTTCGAGATGCAATGAGGAAATAAATCTGTATTCTAATATTCTATTCGAGAGGTGTATCACTGCTTGTTTTTCAACTATCCAAAAATACCCCCCCCCCCCCCCCAATGACCTGCAACCCTTAATTTCGACCTGCAAGCGACATAAGGTTGCCGATCCCTGCCTTTCTATGTCAGTGCCCTGGGTTAACGATTTCTGATAGAACTTCCCATTTCCTCATCCAGGGTAATATATTGTGCAGGCATTACAAAACCTGAAAAATTCTAAACTTTTCAAAGATATTAGCTCATCCATATCAGTGGCTGCTTACACAGAGTTTATTGAGATTGTTTGGAGTTAAGGTGGGGAAAACCCATTTATAATTATCATATACCGGTAAGTTATCTGGAGGGTTCTGTTAGTGGGTTAGCTGCCAAGGCCATATTCCCCTCTAATAACAGTATTCTAAAAACCTAAATACCAACATTAGAAATTTAATTAGATATTGAATCTTAGGTGTCGCTGCACGATAACCATTCTTGGTTCCCCGTGGCTTTCCTTTCCCAGTAAAATGTGTGTTTCATTTTTTTTTGTCAATTTCGTATATTATTTACTGGATGGAAAAAATAAACTTGACCATGACTATTACAGAGTGAAATAATGTAACACCTAAACATACTACTTACTGTATTGTATATCTTCTGCTTGTGAATTGTTATTTTCATTGGATATTTAAAAACGGACATAAATGCGTACTTCTAGTGGGATTAGTCATTCCCCAAGGTTTAATCCTTTCAATGACGATAAAGGCCTTTTCAGTGACATTGACGATGACTCCAGGGTTCCATCTAGTGGGAGTGAACTCACTTCGACCACAAGTGAAGGATCTGCGGACGTTAGTTTGGCCGAACTTGGTTTAACAGAGGATTATTTTGCTCAACCTGATGGCGGCTTGGGGATGTCGTCGAGCGAAGAATTGGAAGCTGCGATCGAGAATTGTAAAAAAATGATTTTGGAGTTGCCGGAAGATTCTGTAAGACGGAAAAAATTTGTATCAAAACTGGTACAGCTGAGAATGAAATTCCTGGAGCTAAAAGAAGGGCCGACTGAATTCGAACCGCGTGTTAAACAAGTTCTGGGTCACAAACTTCGTAAACGGAAAAGCAATAGCATTAAATATTACTGTGATTGCTGTAACGGACTTATTTGGGGGGTGCTACAAGCTTGGTATAGATGCAAAGAATGTGGTTTTAATTGTCATAACAAATGCGTCAATATGATCAGACGAAAATGTGTCGCAATTGACATGAATAATTTGCCATATAATTTAGATATTTCGCCCGAAATTGGGCTCTCGTCACAACAATTTAACTGCGCGGAATGTAAAAATCCTATTTCTGTAACTGGTATGGGCAAAGAGGAGGCCAGGATTTGTGATTATAATGGACAATACTATTGTCCACAATGCCACTGGAATGATACTAGCGTTATCCCTGGGAGGGTCGTGCATAATTGGGATTTCACGCCACAGAAAGTCTCTCGCCAATCGTATCAAATTCTATCGAAATTGTATAAAAGGCCGTTACTCAATCTACAAGAAATAAATCCGCTTTTGTTTAACTACGTTGAAGAGCTAGCTGATATCCGTAAATTACGAGAAGATATATTACTTATGAAGGTTTATTTTGTTACGTGCAGTAACGCTCTCGATTTAAAATTGCTTCTTAAACTTAGCGACAGGCAACATTTTGTTGATTGCTCAGATAAATATTCTATGGAAGATCTTGTAGAAGCCCAAAGTGGGACTTTAACTGAATATTTAACAAACCTACACGCTGAATATGCAAAACATATCAAACTTGACTGCTTAGTTTGCCAAGCTAAAGGATTCATCTGTGAAATTTGCAACTCAGGGGAAACGCTTTTTCCGTTTGATTTCGGAGTTTCTACTTGTACGAAATGCCACGCTGTTTTTCACCGTGACTGTTTTACTTGCATTGATACTCTTTGTCCAAGGTGTGAGCGATTTCAGAAGAAAAAAAAATTGAGAAAGAATAAAGAAAATGCTTTATTTGAGAGTGACGAAAGCTATGAATCTGAAGGTTCATATTTACGTAGCGGTGAATTGTCATCTTCAACTGAATTACCTACAACTTCAAAACCAGTTGCCAGATATTCACCCGCATTTACAACTACGACCTCCGATAAGGCATCTATTGAAAATACAGACAATACGAGAGATCGGAATGATAGTAAAAGTTCTGCAATTCAAATTGATCCTTATTTAACGGAGAAAAGAAGCCGAGAATCCTCGTTTCATTCTTTACTCACAGACTCATCTTATACTGATTATGCGGTACTGGGTTTCGCAGGCGCTGGTCGGAGTAAAAATCCTGCGTCGGAAAACAATCAAAACATCGAACATACCGAAATAGAAAAGACAGAAAAATCTCTAGATTCTACTGTAAAGCTTGTGACGAAAAATGGCAAAATCAATCACCCACGACAACCAAGATATCGTTTTCACCAAAACGAAGCGAACACTTTCAATTATGAAACTAATCCGGTCACTAGGAGGCCGCAGAGAGATGATAATTTATTCAACGATCTTGTGAAATCAAAAACAAATCGTCCGAAGCCTGATCCTAATCGTGAAACTAAGATTGGACGAAATAGAACTTCACAAGAGCCTGCAGCAGCTCAACACAGTGCTCGAGAAAAAACAAACGACCAGAGAATAAATCAAAAATACAATTTAAGATCAGGAAGACATTATGATCCTACATTGGATCCTTTTCATAACCATGAGAACCCGAGTACACGATTCATGAGCGACGTTGCAAAATCAAAATTTCATTCTGACCTTTCACCCTCTGATCAACCGGAACTTGACCCCTTCAATCAAAATCGAAACAAAGGGTCAAAGTTTATCGATAGAGTCACCCCTTCGACTTCATATCGACCAGAATTGGATCCCTTTCATCAAAATGAGGATAAAAAGACGAAATTTATGAAAAATGTCACCCCTCGTAATTTTTCAGTTCAAAATACTACCAGGGGTTTCCATGACCAGAGAAATCAAAACCATGTTGCCAGATTCAGATCTGATCATAAACAGTGGCCAATACATGATTCTGCTGGTAATCCTTTCGATACTAATGATTCTGCTAGTCCTTTTAATAAATCTGGCAACCCTTTTGATGATGCTGATCATTATGATGACGCTAAAAACCCGTTTTCTTAATTCTAATTTCATGATTCAGGTGCGTTCTTTTGCGATTTATTAGTAGACTACGTACTCTTATAGTGGAATAATTTATTGAGTTGAGGTAATGGACATCCTAAGCTGGGGGCTCCCAACCTATATTCCCCTGTTTACCCTTTTGCAAATTTTACGTTAGTAAAATTTCCCTCAAAAATTTTATGTTTTCCCTCTTACAAAGCATTATAATGACTCTAGGGCTGTAATTTCTAATAATGGCTTTTCACAATTTTTGACGGAGTTTTAAAGTTTTTTCCATGTTTTAAGCCAATACCTATATTTCCCTACTTATACTTTCCAAATTTTACAAAAGTCTCACAAATTTTCCTTTTTACATGGCATTATAATAACATACTCTGGAAGAAGGAATTCTAACATAGAATTATAGATGTAAATAGCTGAAATTCATTGGATTTAGTTATTCATTTTCCCCCGCAGAAAAGTTACTCCCATGGCAGGTCAAATTTAGCTCCAGGGAGGGAATTTTCACCCTTTTCCCCCACTTTCATATCAATATTCGAATTTCAATGATCGGCTAATCAAGTAATGACTATTGATTTTCTTGATTGCTGCTTCTAATGGCTAATTTTCAGAAGAAATTTCAGATGTGTTTGTTTCGTTTTGAATATTTGTGGCTCTGATAATTCTATATTTCCACCAGCGATTTTTGGTACTTGTTGCAAACACATTGAAATTTAATATGTTGACCATAAAACCATATCATCACTTGCATTTATTTTTTGATTATTATTTGAATTGATTCATTTTTCTTTTAAAATATCTTTGCTGAACTATATTTACAGGTTCCTTCTTGTTGATCTATCATTATTAATTTCATTTACTATTTGATTAAAAATGTATTTTAATAAATGTTATAAATCGATATTATATATGTAGTGTTTGTATATGCTTATGGGCCATTAGTTAACCTATTTCTGAGGCGTTTCTCACTCTTACGGTACCTCACAGAAGGTCCTGTGCAAGGAGTTACTGGAAGGCAAGGGGTTAATATTTCTAAAAAGACTTGTCTCTTGTCTGCCAACTCTATCACACTTGGATTGTTTGTATGGGTACAAAAAACCTTGTAGGATGTATGATTTTAATTCACAAGCACCAGGGCTGCAGAGTAAGGGTGAATTTGCAAACGACTCCAAGCCATTAAAAAACGTCTCCAGATTAGGAGGAATTTAGAATCTGTGTTGATAGGTATTTCAAGTTCGACTCCAGCTCAGAATGACAAATTAATCAAGAGGAACTAACCCTAATTGATGGCTATAACCTTATTTCGCCCGCATGCTTGGTAAATCTCCACTTTATTTTTCGACTGTCGACACTCATTGTGTCAGAGCCAGTGGTATGAAGCGATATAGCCATATCCATAGGCCTTGTTTTCTCAAGATTATCAACAATGCTTTTGATAACCTGGGCGCATGCAAGTCTTCTTCAATTGTCTGTTGTAAGAATGTTAAGTAAACCCATAAACCTAGCAACAGTCTTCGATTACCAACATTGAAAACATGAAATTACAAATAACACTCCATATGACTGATATGTAAATCCTATCCTATCCTATCCTGATGGAACTAAAAGCAATAAACGACTCAATGTCAACCATCCGAGAACACAATAATACAGGAATCAACATCTCAATAACAACAATAATCAGCAGCATAAGAAAGGATTCATAGTCCTAATAAGATCGATGATCTTGGTTTGAATAATGATGTGCCGTGGTTTTGATTATACAAGTAGTTATTAGGTTATTTTTGTCTATACATTATATATTGTGCAGGCGCTAGTTATTCCTTTAATTCTATTGTTCTCATCCATCGGGATTTATTTTTTAGGTGAAGAATTCAAAATTTCAGTTCTCTGAGAAATGCCAGTTCGACTCCAATATCGATAAACACATACCTGAATCTCTTTAGAAACGTCCTTAAATGTCAGTATACTGATGGATACTTGTCTAGCTTGGAGTGTGATGATATAAGGAGAAATGAACGATTCTAATTTGCCCTAAAAGTTCAGTTTTGTAGATTCAATTTTGAATAATCAAATTTAGGCTTGTTACTTGTTTTCCTTGGACACACTCTTCAAGTTTTTTATCCTGGATTCCCGTCCTTTTCTTACACACCATAGCATCTCAGTCACAAGAGTACGTGGAAGGTCTAGTGCAGCGATCCACAAACAGAGTTCCCCCAGCCCACACTCACTCTACGATGTTATTTCATAAACACTTGGTTGCTCCGGTAATATAGACCATACTAGTTATTGAGTGCGCCACGAAAATTAACAGAATTGTGTTAAACATAAATAAAATATGATTGAACATTTTACATATTATATTTATTTTGAATAAGGCAGCATTTTTCAGTGCGTCGTGAGTTTTTTCCCAGATTATTTGGCACCGCGCAAACAAAAAGTTTGGGAATCGCTGGTAGGTATAGCATTGGACTCGACCATTTTGGCATTGCTGATTGCACATTCAGGGTTTGAATATCACGCCCACTACGGGCACTACCTCACCAACAACGCAGTAATTTGGGTTGGCGATGTCAAAATATAGTGGGTCTATAAAGACTTAAAATTTTATAAAAATCGCTAAGGGAATACTTAAACAACTGATTAAAAAAACAACAAACTGGTTGAGATATATTGAGAACTGACTTCCTAACAAAATTGAAACTGTAAAGAGACTTTATGGACACGCTGTATGACTCCTTGTATATTATTAAATATCAGTAGCCGCTCTAGTGGGGCCTTAATTGGAGTGAAAAGTGCGTACAAACATTGCGTAAAAAGGCATCTGTTACCCTGATGCCATTTTCCCTCCACGCACCCTATTCTCTTAATTAAGTAACCAAATAAAATATAAACATAATTTTATTAGATAGTATCAAAATATGAGGATAGTTACAATAAAATACATTGGATGTTAAAATATATTCAAGAAAAGTAAAGAAATAGGCAGTTTAAAAGAAAAACAAAATTTTTTAAAGCAAGTAGGGTTGTTAGAAATAGTATTCATGGTTTAAAATGACAAACAATAATGGAGTAGGATGCTAGATAAATACTTTGGTGTAAGAATGACAAAAAATATGATCAGAATAAGTCATTATTATGCAATATACAACAAATGAGATGATTTTGAGAATATAATTGTTAGGTGCATTTAAGAGCAAGGTGGCCACATAACCAGCATTAGTACTTGAATAAATTTGAACTAAAGGCAAAAAGCACTCAATCAGAAAAATTTATCAATGTGTGTTATTCCGCTAACGTTCTGACTTGAACTGATACTTGTCGAATGGTCTACTCGAGAATCAGCCGAGATGCGCAGTTTGGGTGGCGTGACTTCGCTTGGCCACACACTAGTACAAAGAGTTAAGCAAAGCTTTAAGCAGTATGAAAGAAAGAGTTTAATATTGACAAGCAAAAAACGGTCAGAGTCAAATTTTTAGAATGGGTATCCATGTTCTCATAGCAGGGTTGCTGCAAGCTGAGGGTAAAACACTTTAGCAACAAACCCTCCCTAGAATTTAGACATATTATGAAAAGAATAGCATTATTAGATCGACGCATCATTATGCAATGGGTATTGAAATATTGGGTACTCCTGAAGTATGCGCACCAAGATGTCACACAACCTGAACCCTAACCTGGTACACAACCTGAGTTCAGGTTGTGCATCATCTTGGTGCGATTACTTCAGGAGGTCCAAATATTAACTTATATATTATTTTGTAACGGTTATTTAAAATCCCAGGCATCAAACAGCTCAGAAACAAATTTTGCATGCCCAACTATCCAGCAATTGACAACACAATTATATCAACAAATATTGAATATCAAATAATTCAATGTTTTGTGCGAGCCTGACTTATCACAGATAAGGCTTTGCCTTTGGCGAAGTTTTGAGCAGTAGAAAAAGGGCAGTTTCATAATGACAAAAAAATGGCTGAAGTAAGGTTCTTTGGTACCTTTCATAGTAAGGTTGACGAAAGTTGGAAAATAACAAACAAAAATGGTCAAAGTGGGCTTTTAGGAATGGGTATACATGTTTTATAGCTGGAAAATCACAAGCACAGGGTGAGTACTTTGGGTAATTTGGATCAGTAATTAGTAGTTTATTTTCTGCAATAAATAATTAAAAAGCATTTCAGGGTGAGGGGAGTCGTGAGAAACCAAATTTGGTTATTGAGAAGCAGCACTCATGAACCTAGAGTAGTGTCAAAATGGGCACTTTGGAATGGCAAACAATCAGTCATTGGATAAGCTTTGTAATTGTACTTAATAATGAAAAACAATTGGAACATATTTAAGACTAGTAAAAGAGCCTGAGGCCTCAATTAGCTTTTAAGCTCCTCTAAACGAAAACATGTAAAATAGCGGTTAGAAACATGCTCCATTAATTGTAATGATTGATATAAAACTAAGGCAAATGATTAGGAAGCATATAAAGTGCTTAGAGCAGTGGTTCTCAAACTTTTTTAGTGTTTTGGAAATTTTCAAGTCTTGCGCCCGCCTCAAAAAAACTAGCTAACAATAAGCTACAAATACCAGATAGTAAGGCGAAAGTATGTTTTATTCGAAAACACATGGATGGATTGTAAATATCCAGAATAAAAAATGTTAATATCTAAAATAAGGCGGACAAGATCAAATCTAACAAATATTTTTATTTCTAATTAGCTCCACGTCCTCTCAAAAAAATTGTCAACGTCTGCGCCATTTGAGAACCGCTGGCTGGAGGTATATAGTATTCAATGTAGTAAAAAAATCGGTGCTCTCGAAGTATGCGAACCAAGATGGCGGACATCGGAACGTAACATGGGTAACAGGTTAGGGTTAGGCGATAATTTTTTTCCAATTTTCCTTATTTTAGTCCTATTATCAGTTCGAAGACTAGCCAAGAGCCTCCCGTAGTATTTATACCTAAAATTATGGCCTAACCCTAACCTATTACACATATTACATTCCGATGTCCGCCATCTTGGTTCGCATACTTCGGGAGCCCCAAAAAATCTTTAGAGCGGTCCAAAAATATCACTTATGTGAATTCTAAATGTCTCGGTGGGTGGCGCATTTTGTTAATGTGTGGCTTGCCATTGCCAATGATTACCAAACAATGTTTCACAGATTCGAATCCAAGGAAATTGTTTGACTTATCATTGTTTGGTGATTTATGCAACAGCTGGACATTCACTGGTAACTGGACGAGAGGCCGTTGTTATGCCGTTTTGTCAGCTTTCCTCTCCCCGAGATAAATACGTTCTATCCTAATCGCTTCAAAGAACGAAAACAATCCATGCTATAGTAACTCAAAGCGATATTCTCCTTTCAGATATCTTTAGGCAGTGGAGAAGGCATAGGACTGAGTCCAGTAGAAGTTGTTGATGCTGTCTTATTCCTCTCTGTATTAAATTTATTGCGTTTGGTACAAAATAGTTTTTGAATTTCTCCCGTCCGTACAATGGTGAAAACAAAGATAAAGACTCCCTGTGAAATATAAAAATATATTGACCTGTTGTTCGCAAATGTGACATATCCAAGTGCCTACACAGTAGCAAAATTTTCAAAAAAGAGAAGGGAAATTGCTAAGTTAATCCATAACAGCTATCGCAGGGGTGGGCAAGGTTTTTAAACCAGGGGCCAAAAATTTTGCCCACTCAGACTGAAGGGCCATGTAAGTGGAAAACAATAAGCCTCGTGTCAAAACTGAATTTAATCACAATCTCAACAAACTCCTTGAGCTATCATTTGGCTGAAACATCAAAATTTGGTTTTAGTTTGGTTGTGGCAGCATCAGGCGGGCCATATTAAGTTCCCCAACGGGCCAGCTTTGGCCCGTGGGCCATAGTTTGCCCATGTGAAAGCTAGCGGGTATGCCTCGGAGAATGCAGGTTTTCAAGATTCTTCAGGGTCCACAAAGTGTTTCAAGTGATGAAAAATTTTTATGTATGATAGGAAAAATTCCCATTTTTATTTTTTTACATTTCAAAAGAGAAGGGAGTGGGTTGGGGGTTACAACATAACAGGAACTGCTTGCCTTGATCATAAAATGGTTTTGAATAAAACTCACAAAAGAAAAAACATACTAAAATAGGTTCTCAAACAAATAAAGTAAACATTAATCACCTGAAATGCATTTGCTACAGCGAACAGCCAACTCATAACTTGCAAATAAGTTTGATTATCGGAAAGTAGCATAAAGTAACCGATCACCCATGACAGTCCAACTGTTGTTGCCATGACAAGTGATATTGTCACATTTCGCTTCGTACTTTTAGGTGACGCTGATGATCCCACCTAAAATATGAAAAATTTTTATGATCAGGTCGGTACTAGTAGGAATCCATGGAAAATGGCGAATCAGAATATTAGCCCGCTTGTCATCAGTGCCACCGATTGTTACGCTGTGTAGTTCACAGAATGGAGTTCGGTGTAGGACAACTGTCTGCACGAGGAGAACTAAATCCTACAATCATCGTACTTAGTGGGGACACGTAGCACGTTGGTTTTCAACTGGGTTCCCAGCTGTAGGTGCACCACAATGCTAGGCGCAAAACGGATTTTACTTTTTCCTTCCTGTTCTTCCTAGTTTTGTGCTTGATAAGGTTATTTTACAGCGTTTTTCACTTTGTTGAGCTTGAATTGTTTGAACATAATGTGATTTGGAATCTATCAATCATAATGACACTATAAATACCACTGGAATGATAAGCAGGGGGGCAAGAGTCATAAAAGATTGGCAACCACTGCTCTATAGATTCACTCTTTTTTTGGACCTTACTAATTCATGCTTGCTTGTACACAGTCTTGCTTAGAGTGGAGATGAGAAAAAGAAGCTAAATGATAACTGACAGCGATGTCATGTTTGCAATATGAGTGAGCCATTCTATTTTCCTTCCCCCCCCCCAAAAAATAAAAAATTCAAAAAACTAACCTGCTTTTTGAAACATGTTATTTTAGGTATTACTATACAATATACAACAATGTTATAAACGAGTAACAATCCAACTGGAAGAAGGAATCCAAAGTATAAGGAATTGTTCTGCAGCCAACAGAAGTTACGAGCGTTGTAGGATGAGTCGATAAAAGGATCGCCTAAAAAATACAGAAAACAGGATTTCATTTCGGGATCTAGAAGTTTATATGTGATATGTGATGGAGTTGAATTAGCGCACAATAATGTGATCAACGTTGCACAATCACTGAGCAATCTGAAGATGTTAATAATCGTGTGGCAATGCCAGGGTTTTGGTGTTTTTTCACGGCTTTGAAAGGTTTTTGGGAGCTTTTCACGGGCTGTGCAAGGTTTTTGGTGTTTTCTCACAGTTTTACATATTTTTGCAAGGTTTTTGGTGTTTTTTCAAAATTTTCGCATGTTTTTGCAAGGTGTTTTTTTGTTTGTTTTGCACAATATTTCAACTCTCCAAGAGAACATTTCTTTCAAACACTGTTTGGATTCGAGTATACATTCACTCCTCACAGCCCTGATGCTAACTTAGTATTCATTACCTCCATCGCAAGCATATGTTGTGTACTGCTTGTCAATATGCCCGAGTGTAATCCCAGCGTTCAAGGCGACAATCAGCGCGGGGATTCCATATGCAACTACTGCTGCAGCAAACATATTGTAACGTTGACCTCTGGTTTCCATCACCTGAATGTCAGAACATAATTTTAATATTTATCCAGACGAAAGGAAAGCCTAAAAGACTAAAAGCTTGATTATATGTAAATCAACTACTGCTCATTAGGATACTGGTCCAGACCGGGTATGTGAAAGAATATTTTAACTAGGCTGTCATTAGACATTTATGTAAAGGTGCAGTGTAAACAGGTATAATTGACCAGAAGTTACGTGAGTAGGCCTGGAAATTTCAGGGAATACACTTTAACCGTTAACCAGCTAAAATTAACCGGTTAACCGCAGCATGACGATCACATAATAATTTACAATTTCGTGTGACCTCATCTCTGTATCTCTCAAAATTATTCATGATTTGAGATAGTGAGCCATCCTTGGATGGCAATGAATCCATAATTGGACAATGGTGTAACAATAGGATATGATTCAAATATTTATCCCGGGGAAGACGAAAGCCGATAAGACAGCATAATCGTTTTTGGATCAAACTTTGAAACTTTGGAGAAAAGAAAAATCAAAATAATTTGAAAAACTTGGAACTTCGAAAAAATAAATTTACCCACCTTTACCACATCCCTATATACAGTGTGGCTATAGATCGCCATCCAGAACCATGCCGCTAATAAAGCATAATGCAAGAGGGCGGCGAGTATCGAACACCTGATCTCATCATTAGCGGCGTCAACTCCAAACATGAAAAGAAGGAATGAAACAGCCAGGCATCCACATATGTTCATGATCACTTGCATTGGCTGTTTTCTTCTGAGTCGCCTAAATTAAAAAAAGGAATGAATTCAGAAAATAGTTGGGATGTGTGTTAGACTCAACTATGTTGGTCGCAGATTACAAATTTCGAGTTTGGACACCATGAACAGCACTCCACCTAGGATGTAATACATAGACTGCTTGATCAACTATACAAGGAACAATGGATTCTGAGGCGCCTAACTGTAAATAAGGCAAAAAAATTCAGAGAGGGACGGACATTAGGCTATGTAGAAGCCACCATGGGACAGAGAACTGCTTCCTAAAGTAAGAAAAAAAGATTCTCACATTTATATCAAGAAAGGGGAAAGTCAATACGACAGCTTAATCGCATGGTGAATCATAATCTAAACGTTCCATGTATATAATGTAAGAAAGTTTAGGAGTCACCATGGAATATCTGCTCCAAATAGAATAAAAAACTGGATAGGGAGACTCATCAACATCCTGAATTAGTAACCGGAAAGAGTGAAATTCCATGATAGCGGTAATCCATCTTAAAATATTTCTCACCTTTCAGATATAGATATATAAACTGTTAGTCTACTTATTAACAAACAGAAAAAACTTACTTTGAGAATCCGACAACTAGCACAGTACAGATCAGACATATTGCTGACAACCCGCATCCAACGTATGTTACGATTGTTATCGCTATGTTCGACCCAATCTCATCCTTGCTCTGAAACAAAAAATATATTGTTTGTTTTTATTTTAACTTTTCATTGAGTGTTCCACATTTGCTCTAAACAAGGCTATAGGCTTGCATACATACATAGAGAACCAGGAATTTAAAAAAAGGGGGGTTCTGTCCAGCAAAGAACCTGAAAATGTGGGTTTTCAACAGCCTTGAGGGTCAAAAAAGCGTTTTAAGCTGCGAAAAATTGCTATGTATGATACAGGAAAATGCATTTTTTTCATTTTAAAAGGGGGGTTCCTAGTAGGGTGTCACTACCAATTCCATATCAGTAATCTACCTGTACTTACTGATCAGAGCGAGCCCCCAAAAAAATTATTTGAACGAAATACCAATTTGCACGAAAATATTCTTTAGTGTATGGGGCTACCACCGTCGTCATTGTTCCAACATTGGAATGGCTTATTATCCTAATACTGATCAAGCTACTTGATCTAGCAAAGAATCCATGATGTAACTTGTAGTAATAAAAAATGAAGCAAAAACCATTAGTAAATGAGTTTTACTTACCACCAGAAGAGCAAAATTAGTCAGATGGTTGCAGTGACATTCAGGTGGATCCCCAGGTATCAGACAACATCCATCACGAGACCACCATTGTTTGTCAAAGTCCCAGAAAACACATTCAAGATTTGTGATGTCAGTCTGAAAAATATAGGATTGAAAAGTTATATACAGAATGACCAGAACAACAGAGCCTATAACTTCTTTCATTACATCTAAAAAATTGGAAAAGAATTTATTTAACACTTGAACATCTGTTTGTGTATAACTATTTCTGTATGGATATTGTGAATTATCCTTAAAATCAAAAATTTGATGCAGAGAATACAGCAAAATTCAAATTAATTATATCCAGAGTTATACAATATTTTTTAAAGCTAATTGTAGCCTGAATTTTTTTAATATCAGATCTTAAATTAGCCTGTTCTCAAAATTCGAATATTCTAATCTATACATAAAAATAGGAATTTATTACAACGAATCTGACAAATTCCAAACATATCCAAATTGACAATCTGTATTAGACATCCCTTGACCATGCTTTTCAGAAAATTTAGAACTTCTAACCGTAAGGTCGTCAGAATCAGCTCCCCCAAATTGACTATTGAGAATTCACAAAAAAACTACTTGTTGGAGAGTTGACTACCATTGGTAGGTCTTTTACAGAATATTTCAGGGTTCGGCCATAATGTCTTCCCCAATCTTTCATGTCTCCACTATTAACAACTAAGTAAATATGAAGATAAAATTCTAAATCACCTTGAATTCATCTCTCTGAACTTTCTCAGGTTTTTCATCGACTTCTCTGTTTGTGATGACAACAGGATCAATCAATCTGATGTTGCTTAGAGATGATTCTTTATCTCCAAGACTGCTTGCTATTACCTGGGAAAAGTTGAATTTTGATATATTAAAATTTACCGTATTTGCTCGTTTTGTAGCCCGGGCCCAAATTATTTTCAACCAACTCACTTATTCAAACCGGCCCTTATTCAAGCACGGGCGCTTATTATTTTCGATCGTTACAATAATTAATATGTTGTTATTTCCAGTTCTCAAGTATGATTTAAACGAGAATAACGAAAATTTTGACTTTTTCTACGCACCGCAGGTACAGATCTGCAAAAGAAGAAAAGTTTTGCGACGCCATATCAATATTGAAACGACGCACTTGGGCGTCGCGACGCCCAGTTTGAGAACCATAGTGTTACGGAAACAATGCCATCTGTTATGTACTTGGACGCCTAAGGCGTGAGTGTTATCTACTGGCTCTTAAAATTCAACAGCTTTGTGACAAAAGCGCTTCTTATTTCCTATTGCTCTCTACCACTGAAAAATCAGCTTTTACATCGGGCGGGTATTCAAGCACCGGCCCTTATTTATTTTTATGTTCTGTTCACACGGGCGGCTATTCAAACGGGCCCTTAATCAAGATCGGGCGGTAAAACGAGCATATACGGTAATTTACTCCTCATATTAAAAAATGATGTATGAGATTTTGTGACTAGAACTTCGTATGACACTCAGATGACTCAGTATGGTTCTCACCCAGTACCATACTAATCGAGCCACTCGGATGTTGATCTGAAAGTTCTTACCCAGTCTGTATCTCTACTTGATGGGAAGAATGTGCTGTTCCGATATCCGACTGATACAATTCTGACAGACGATGTTGCACGTTTTGATCTTGGTGATGAAGAGGCTAAAAAAGACCAAAATTACAATAAAATAGTGAGGGCTCCAGTATACAGAGACACAAAGTTCATAGGTCATATAGATAAGTACATCTATTTTGTGGAAAAGCATTAAACATTAGATGTATGATGTCATTGCAGGTTAAAAATCTCAGGTTCAAATTCCATTTCAATCATCACCTCATCCAGGACGTAATAAATTTAGTCCAAGTATATACAGATATGACTTACCGACTGCTGCAGCCGCCTTAGCGAAAGCTTCTCCTGGAATCTTTATTTCAATCGGTGAAACAATTCTTCCATCAGAACTTCCAGAATAAAAGTCAGGGATGAACGTTATGGATGTTGATAAGCTTTCAGCATCTGGGACATCTTGTACCTTGAAAATGAAATGAACTGTATTTGGGCTGTGTGTCAAGGTGCCTGACACCAGGATATACTTCCACCCCGCCCATTGTGTAATAAATTGTGTAGGCAATGCTAAATTGATAACGGTCCTTCCATCTTCTTGCGTAGCAGTTGCTACCTGGCCACAGTGAAAAGTGCGTGAAACCTCATAAAATTTAATCTTTTTATCATGTTTTCTTTTGCACAGATTATGTTATGAACATCGTGTCGTAACAGGCAGGCTAATTACAAATATTAACTGGATTATCTACTCTGTGATTCACCCATACATTGGCTGTCATTATGAACCTGAATACTTCACCTCATTTCCCTCATTTCATGCAATGAATCCCCATCTAAAGTATTTAAAATCTGGCTTAACAACAAATTTAAAAGTACAAACCTTGATATTGATATCTTTACTAATTGCAGTGAACCCAGATGTAGCGTCTGCTTCAAGCTTTCTTGACAAGGTCGTCAGTGATTGGACGAGACTTTGTTTTTGATATGTTGTTTCTGATGTTTCTGGTTATAAAATAATGTTTCGAGATTTAGGATTTACATATTTATCCTGGGGGAGATGAAAGCTACTACTATACGGCTGAATCATATGCCGAACCACGGCCTCTTGTCCAGTTACCAGTTTCATGTCGGGTATGGAGTTGGTTAGTTAGGTATTTGTTTCAGATGCATAGACAAGAGGGTGGAAGAATCCTCTTTCCTTATGTAAACCAACCTACGACGGTGAGGAGTCCAGCAATCCTCTTGCACATAATTATTCATGTGTGGGATTCGAACCTGCGAACCCACACAGCGTGATCAGAAGTGCGGAGGCGAGCGTATTCCCAACGCTTAGCTTAATGCACCACACATGAGCAAAGCTTCAATAAGTACTACTTTCAATATATAATTAAAATCATATACAGGTATAAATGATAAAGATGTTGACAAATTGCTCATATAGTGATGGAATTCAAAAATTTAAAAACATGTTCTTTTTTATCAAACTCATTAACAACACATCATCTCATTTTAGAAAATCCCACAACTTTGATAGCTCTAAAACAGAGGTGTGCAACTTTTTTTGTCAGTGGGCCATATAACCAACTTCAGACATCTAGCTGGTCCACGCTAAAAAGTTAGTTTTTCCATATAAACAACAAATTAAAAAATTATTACAATGTAAAATTATAACTATTCAACATTTTAGTACCGGTACTTTTGTTCTAACATAGTTTGTTAACATCAGCTTTGACAGAAGTTAGGATTTTATGCTTGATGGGGAGAACTCCACATTAAATGGTAAACTAAACTTCGAAAGTACCTTGTTGTCCTGACAGTGCAAAATACTCAGACATGTGACTTGTAATTTCTGCAACATTCCCAATATCAGTATTTGAAAACTGGAAGAGAAAAGAAGTTATAGCATGAAATATATAGAAGAGGTATTAGGAAATCAGTAACCAATCAATGACTCAGAGGTTTTGAATTCTCAGACACTTGTTAGAAATATAATTTAACACATATCCCTGCTCGATAACTAGCTTTGGTTCTCCCTACTTTCCTTCGGCAGTAAAACTGTAAATAACGTTTTCTCGTCAATTTTGTACGATTTCTACTGGTTGGAAAATATGAATTATACGTGCCTAATTAAATATTTTCGTTAATCTTCTCTTTGACTATTTTGGAGCTCTTTATTCCTTCCTCACTATGAATAAACTTTATTTTCTTATTCAATTTTCACTGCATCTCCAGCTAGTAATTTTGCACAAGTCGTACTCTCGCTTTTGTTCAAGTAGTTTGTAATATGTGCATGAATAAGTATTACAGTGATAATAAAAAACTAAGGAATATTTGTAATACAGCAGCAAATGCAAAGCAAAATTTCTTCTCAAAGATTGACAAAATTCCTCGCTGGGCAAAATTCCTCCCTGTAATTTTGCACGAATGTTGTATTTCTCTATGATAACGCTATCAGATTAGGGGCACGAAATATCTTAACACTTTTTTTACCACCGGCATATATATACGTCATCTGGCAAATACCATTCAGTGCCACGAACGTATCTATATATCCCTGGTAGGGAAAGATGGCTCCAACCGGAATAATCTCAGTTTTCTCACCTGCAAACCGGCTTTGGAAATGCCCTCAAAATATTTTGTGATATCTCCGACATCTTCTTGATTTATTCCATCAACGTTAGATGATAACACTTGGAGGTGCTGAAGAGTAGCACTGACTTGCTTCGAAGAGTTGTAAGGCTGAGAACACAGCAAGAATAGGGGTTGGTTATGCAAGTATGATGAAACAACATTAACGCTAACAATTAAATTACCATATAGAATATAAATGCAGTTGTTTTGAAAATGTTGTTCTTTGTTCGCAACACGGACTAGACAATGTGTACATTGTGCTACGCGTTAGGTATACACTTGCCACCGCACCTCTGATTACCATACTTGGGTTTACAGGTTCGAATTCCATGCAGGGATAGTTAAGTGCGAGAGGATTGCTGGACTCCTCGCTGCTGAGGGTGGTTCACCTAATCGGTGATCGGTGACGGCTTTCTCTATCATCAAGTCCATGCATCCGAAAAGAAATTACTGGCCAACTAATCCCATACCCGATACGGACTGGTAACTGGACTGAAGGCTGCAGATCTGCCGTCTTATCGGTTTTCTGTTCACCGGGATTAATATGTAAACCCTACTCTAACTCTAATGAAGGTCACAATATTTGAACCTGCGAACCCACGCAGGGTAATTAGAGATGCGATAGATTTCCTCCCGTAAATATGGAAGATCTTATTTCTAACAATCCCACCTGCGATGTCAAATCCTTAATTGTCTCTCTGCAGTCGGTACGGACCAACGTGTCAGGATCAAACCTTGAGGAATTTGTTGAAGTTGACACACATGAGACTGATGCGATTGGTCTGCTAGTATCTGTAAAAGTAAAAACTAATGTGAGAATAATAAGAGAAGATGAAGTTTTGGACACACACACCGAGATATATTGATCATTCATTCCCTGGTAAAATTGTGATTAATATTTTTTCGTAATTTGTAAAGGATTGATTTTTTTTTACTGGTTGAAAAAAATAACTTGACTTAGCTTGATATAGCTTAAAGAGAGAGTTAAGAACAACAATGAGACCACAACATAATTTAACCTCTGTGTATCCTTTGTGTTGTATTTTTCATCAGGAAAGTAAATCAAACCATAAATAGAACTAATGATAGCAAGACACAAAAACTAGGAGAAAGATAAAAAATTAACATGGAGAAAAACGAAACAAAAGTCTAAGTCAATGCTTCCGAAAATAATAACTGGCTAACTAATCCCATACCCGACCTAGACTGGTAACCGGGCGAAAGGCCGTGGTTCGTCATATGATTAAGCCGTCTTATCGGCTTTCCTCTCCCCGGGATAAATTTGTAAATCCTATCCTATCCTAAAGGCTGAATTTCCTAGGCAAGCTAGAACCAACCTTCACACATCTGTTCAGAATATGACACCAAACCAGGGAATGATGCAGGGAAAGTGAAGCCATCAATATCTTGAAGATCACATGATCCTGCAATGAGAAGATTTATTAGCTGGGTTTACAGACTTCTCGGACTACAGACATAAAGGTGGCATGAGATGATATGGGGGTACTACTGAAGTATGCGCACCAAAATGTCGATTAACCTGAACCCTGACCTGGTACACAACCTGAGTTCAGGTTGTGCGCCATCTTGGTGCGCATACTTCAGGAGGTTCGATTTGGGTTATGAATTTGATTTTCAGTCACCTTGGTAATTGTTCAACATAATGTTAATATACGACAACATATGGATTTATATGACATTTGGGCATACACACTACAGTGGTACAGATAGCCTGTCGGAGTGAGATATTATTGCAACACAATATCATAAAGTCATCATTTTATTAGGGCTGGGTATTTTCGAATACCTGATGATTTCAGAATCGAATCGAATATTTTTTTCGAATCGAATCTCGAATACTTGGGATATATTTTATTGTATGCGACTTTTTAGTGTAATTGGTCCTGTCAATAAATGAATTACTAAAAACATAGAATACATCTCTCAGACAGCTTGCTGAGTGACACAATAAGACACACTATTTATCAATAACTCACTACAGAAAATAGTCATATGACAGAATTGCGTTGAAAAAATATGGCTTCAAAAAAAAAATTGAGGAATTCACCTAGAGTCCTAGACCACAGGAAAAAAACAAGATGGCGGCAATTCGAAATTTTGCTCTGAACCTCTGAATTAATATCCCTGAGTAAATTAAAATTACTTTACTTTATTTTAAACACTGAACCTTTTTATAATAGGGTTAAAACAAGACTTAAATAAATCTGAATTTTACAGATAAATTATATATATATACTGAGGCTGTAAATTTGACACTTGAAAAACATACTAATAAATCAGAATAAATTGATGTTTTTGGAATACTGAAAAAGTCGCTAATAAGGTGCACAATTGCATTTTGTTATGCATGTATTGTCCCACGAGGACACCGATAATTACTTTTTTGTTGTCGTACGGAATTGTGAGTTCAGTGTGAAAGACTAGTTAGTATATTATCCTAGATCCTAAAAATAATTAATACATAGGTGAATCCGCAACCCAAATTTCTTGATTGGAAAGCGGCATTATGGAATATTAAAACTAAAACCCAAAACGGAATAAAATACCATAAGTTTCGTTTTAGCTAACTCACGACAGATTATAAACGCTTTTTTTAAGCATTGTAAATCACAAAATTTGATGTTATGTTAGGTTTTCTTTGGAAATCATACTATAGTCACTGAAATCGAAACACAATCAATTGTGCGCGCGCTTTTATCCATTCTGAAACTACCGACGGACCCGCACACGACTTTTTTTCGGTATGTGAGGACATATAAGATACATAATAAAGTAAACTGTATCACTCCATTTTTATTGTAAAATTAAATTGAACACAATTGAGTTGATAAACAAGTCCTTTTAAATATGCCAGCATCGGTCATAGATCGCGCAATTGTAAATTGTACTTATTGAGATTTTAACGCCAACATTGGGATTTTAGCAAGGGCGATGATATTTTGCTCCAAAATATTCTCGAGTCCTAAAACAAACCAAAATTTGACGAATCCTAAGAATAGTAATCTCTTATTTTAGTAATCGTAATAATAATTTCGACTCAGAGGTGAGTAACGATGAACACGAATAAATTATTATGACAAAGCATTTTAAATGCTCGCGTTGACCATGGATTGAATATTTTACGTAACAGGAAACTCGTTATCCACTGATAAAGTCTTTTTTTTGACGAGTGACAGTAACAACAGCTTTTTTCATGACAGTGATGACTCAAATTATTTCAAGTATCTTACTAATCACAATACATGGTTGAGATTTACCAATAAATATCCAGTCAGCATGTTCCACAGCTTTTCAAATTAGGGGTTAGGGTGGATTTAAGTTTAGGGGGTGGAGGGAATTTTGTTAATAATGACAAAACTTATAAAAATGTGTTACTCATTTAACTGTCCATCTGTACCAGCATAAAAACCACTTTCTGGGTATTCAAATACAATTTTATGTATGTTGAGAATCAAATTGTAGTGATACACCTCAGTAGTGTCAAGATTACGGGGATGTTTGAAATGTTTAGGAAGGAGGGTGTCCACCCTACATACGGAGAGAAAATCACTGAAGCTAGCTGTTAGCATGTCAGCGCTACCTGCAACTTCGCTATCAATGCTCTTTCCACTTTCAGTTTAGGGCTCGAAATGAGGAATTCAGGCAGACTTTTAGATAAAACTAATAACCAACCTTCCATTTCTACTGGGAAGCACAGCCTTCCACAACCATTATAGCAGCATATCTCATTCTCACTGCAACCTGTCCGTTCTGAATCCATGCATTCATCGACGCAGACTGCACCTCCATCTAAGATGGTTGGACAACGAGGGTCTGTAGAAAAGTATAAATCGCTTTCAAGTTGATGAATAAAAATTTAGATGGAAATTTTATATTTATATGCTTTTAAGGAGAGAAAAGTCTATAAAATAAGGATAAATTGGCATTACTAAAAAAGAGAGTAATACACATGATAGCTAATCTATGATGAATAAATTTGTGCCCACGAGAGATATGTACGTGGTGATTGCTGTTCTCCTTGTTATTGCTGTGCTGGTTTCGTCTTGCTGTATGATTCACTATTCCCTTAACAGACTTGGACTAGATAGGATAGGATTTACATATTCATCCCGGAGGAGAGGAAAGTCGACTTAACCATATGGCAAACCATGGCTTCTCGTCCGGTTACCATTCTATGCCGGGTATGGGATTAGTTAGTTATTTGTTTTCGGAAGCATGGACTTGATGGTGGAGGAAGACGGAACCGACCAGCGATTACATGAACCACCGGCGGCGAGGAGTCCAGCAATCCTCTCGCACATAACCATCCCTTTATGGAATTAGAACCTGTGAACCCACGCAGAGTGATCAGAGGTGCGGCGAGCGTATTCCTATCGCTCTATACACGATGAGCCACACTGATGGCCTGGTAACCAGACAAAAGACTGTGTCTTGCTATTTCATAAATTTGTCATTGCATGAATAAAATAAACAGTCTATCAAACAGAATAGTCCTATTTATTCTTGCCACAGCATCCTTGCGTTACACGCATACGGATCCACCTGCGCAAAGGCATTGAGCAAGGAAAGGTAGTCTTGCATACCCCGACTGATAATTAAAAGAAACAGTGCTAATATTTTCATGGCAGTTAGGAAGGCTGTGGTTCACCATATGATTAAGCCAACTCATCAACTGTTCTTTCCACATATATACTATACATAGAATCCCATACAAACCTTGAAACGTAATGCAAACTCTCCCACAACCGTTATAACAACAATATTCCCCTGCCCTACAATCTGATGACGTATCACACTCCTGGACGCAGAAAGCCACATCCTCATCTTTTATAGCAGGACAGAGAGGATCTGGGAAATCGAAATGGACAAGAATGAAAAAACGGAAGGGTGCAGGCGCAAAATATTAACAAAACATGGTTCTATCACCACTTTCATTCACTTTGAATGTGAAGGAGGCATTGTAAATTCACTATGAACAAGACTTGATGCAAGCAACCATCGGCAATTTAGGAACTTTTTTTTTAATAAAGCAGGACAAATAGGACAACTCGGTACTCCTGAAGTATGCGCACCAAGATGTCGCATAACCTTAGCCCTAACCTGGTACACAAAGTTCAGGTTGGGTGCGCATACTTCAGGAGGTCCGACAACTCTGATACAAGCAGGATGCGTATGGGACAAGCGTGAAATGAGCAGGATATTAGGAGGCCTTAACAAGTATTTAATAAAAATTTAATCAAGCAGGCATGATATTCTAATATAATTCAGGCTTCTCTTAAAAGTTTATTATCATGGTATGCAAATAAGAAGCATTGGTTTGAACAATTTCTACCTCTGCAGTTCTTTCCATCTCCAACTAAACCAGGTTTGCATCTGCATGTGTGACTTCCTTCAGTATTTGTACAATTCGCTTCCCGATCACAATCGTGTGTTCCATCAACACATTCATTTACATCTAAATAAATGTGACAGAAATCGTGAGTAAATTTATTATTGTTGTTGGTTAGTAGATGATAAGTCGCTGCATTTAGATGACATACGGATGGGATTTCATTTTTTTTAGGGGGGGAGTCCAGGGTGTGAGATTAGTTAGCCAGCTATTTTTTTTCGGAAGCATGAACTTGATGGTGGAAAAAGCTGTTACCGACCAGCGGTTATGTGAACTACCCTACGGCGGCGAGGTGTCCAGCAATCCTCTCGCACATGATCTTTCTCGCATGGGATTCGAACCTGCGAACGTATTCCTAACGCCTCGCACGATGCACAAACTATAGCCTTTCGTTCGGTTACGAGACCCTGTCAAGTATGGGATTAGTTACCCTGTTGTTTGGTGAAGGAAAACATAGCCAACCAGTGTTATCATGAATTATTTACTAGATTAAATATTTCATGAATGGTAACACTGGGTTTGAGATTAATTAATAAATATCCAGAAAGGAATTTAATGGATTAAATACGAGAGTCAACAAGGGCCACACTGAATGGCTTGGCGGATCGGGTTGTGGCCACGGGCCACCTGTTGCACGCCCCTGTTATGTGAGAATGATAAATGATTAAATAAAGCCATGTTCTACCTTTGCAAGTCCTCCCGTCACCGGAAAAACCAGATTTGCAAGTACATGTGTAACTTCCTTCAGTATTGGTGCAACCAGCCTCTTGATCGCATCCATGTGTTCCATCTGCACATTCATCAACATCTAAATAAAAGGGAGAATCTTTCACAATATGATACAGGTTTCATAATTATCCTACACACATATACACATCATATAGAATGGGATTCTCATATTTATAATGAAGAGCACAAAACCATAAGATGGTTACAGCATGTTGCAAACCATGGCCTCACCCCCCAATTACCAGTACATGCTGGACATTGGAATAATCGACTAGTTATTTATTTTAGATGCATGGACGTGATATACACAAACCCAAAAGCATATAAATACATGTGAACCAGTGTTCCCTCTAAAATGTGTGCGTGTGCGCGCACACAGCTTTCAGAGGCCGCGCACAAGCATAGATTCACTGCGCACAGACGTATTTCGATGTAATGTAGCCATGTTCTCGGTTGGCAGGTTGAGAAAGTTTGTTATTGACCCACTTATTACCCGGTTAGAACGCCAAAATTTCTTCATTGGTTTTTGCACAAATATTAGTCATTTCCAAAAAAGTGCGCACACACCAAAATTTCTGCGCACACATACTACAAAAAATTAGAGGGAACATTGATGTGAACACAATCGAACACATACATAGAAACACATACACAGATATGTAGACCCACACAAACAAACATGTATACATATACATACTTAAAGGTGCACACATACTTAGACAAGTTGTTCCATTCCATATGTAGGCCTATCCTTGTTCACATCCACAATTACACAAACTTACAAGTTTCCACTTTTAGTTGAAAGCACACCCACACTCGCACAAACTCAAATGTTCACCCACACACATACACAAGCACACACACATATATACTCCCACTAACATACACATATATGTACATGTACACACACCGTAGTGCCACAAATACACACATGGATAAGGTCACACAAACACATACATTTATACAAACACATTTTTACACACACGAGCACACACATTTATACACCTGTGTGCAATACACATTTTGCACGCTTATAAACAAGCACACACACAGACACATGCTCCCACTAACATACACATATATGTAAACACACACACACAATAGTGCCACAGGAACACACATGGGTAGGGTCACACAAACACAAACATTTATACAAACACATGTTAAACACATTTTTACACACACAAGTATACACCTGCGTGCAATACACATTTTAAACACTCATAGACAAGCACACACACATGCGTCCATTAACATACACATATAAATACACACACAACACAATCTATCTACAGACAAACCTGCACAAAACGTTGCTTTCCATGTGTATCCTTGTTCGCAAGCGCATCCATAAGATCCCTGGCTATTGATGCAAACTTGTTGGTCCCCAGCGCAAGAATTCTTGGATTGACACTCATCCACATCTGAAAAAGTTGTAAACTTAAAAGTTTGATTTTTTTACTCAATATACACACATGTACATATACACGCTCATACACAATCACACACACACAATTGTGCACACACACTCACACACATATAACAGAGACGCACATCACAAACAAACACAGGTAAATTACACGCTTCCACACACACACACACGATCATGCAGATACAAATACATACGGATAACAGAAGAACACACCACATATAAACATGTGTACATATACACCCTTACACACACACACACACAGATAGGTACTCGCACTAACACAAACATACATACTCACCCACTCATAAACACCCACAAACATAAACATAGACACACAGATGTACACACACATACATACGCACATACACACTCTGAAGCCCGTGGGTCGTAGAAAACAACTGTATTTTTAACAAGTATCACGGTGCACCAACCGCACGCAGATACTCAAGTACACATACATACACATAGACACACACAAGCACGCATACATAAACACATAACACTCTGAAGCCCTTAGGTCATAGAAAACAACTGTATAATAACAACTATCACGGTGCACCAACCGCATGCAGATACTCAAGTACACATACAGACACATAGACACACACAAGCACACATACATACGCACATACACACTCTGAAGCCCGTAGGTCGTAGAAAACAACTGTATAATAACAACTATCACGGTGCACCAACCGCACGCAGATACTCAAGTACACATACATAAACATAGATACACACATAACACTCTGAAGCCCGAACCTTTGAACTAATAGAGTTTATATCGCCACAGACGTACCGTTACAAGTCGTTTCATTCCATGTGTATCCTTGTTCACAATCACATCTATAAAATCCTTGTGTATTGACACAAACTTGATTATCTTCAGTGCAAGGGTTCTGGGTTTGACACTCGTCCACATCTGAGAAAGTATATTTTTTTAATATTGAAATCTTGTGTGAATAACTGCTGATTTCAGAATCAAATCGAAATTTTTTTTAAAACCAAATCGAATCTCGGATACTTCGAAGATATGTAGTTGTAGTGACTGTTTCATTGTAATGGGTACTTCAGACACATAAATTAGTAAAAACACAAAATCTATTACTCAGTCAGCGATTGTGTTCACACACAACAAAACACATGTTTCATCGATAACTCACTGGGGAAAAAAGAGTAATATCTTAGAATTGTCAATTGCATTTTGAAAATTTGACACGAATAAGAAAATAAGAGATTCGTCTTGACTTACGGGCGGACAAAAAAACAAAATGGCGGCGATTCGAAATTCAAGTCTGAACCGATTCGAATAATTTAATATTCGATTCGAAATGCTCGTCCCTATTCAATATACAGTCCAGTACGGGCAAGAGTTTCCCAGTTATTGTTAGGAACACACGGCTGCGGAGTCAAGTTAGGCTGAGACGTCATAATGCTATAAAACTCGAATCTCCACGTAATCAGAGATGGGATATAAGTCAAAATTTTCCCAGCGCGGAGTCAAAAGTCAGGGAAGTCTCCCCGATTTTGCAACCCTGGTGGGAAATACTCTTTCAATTTAATCTCTAACGTGAAATTCTACCCAGATAGTTCTGAGACAAGTTATGAGACAAAAATTTTTTTGCAAAATATCAAAATAAAAAGGGTGCTCCAGAAGTAAGCGCACCAAGATGTCGCACAACCTGAATCCTAACCGGTACACACATACTATGTTCAGGTTGTGCACCATCTTAGTGAGCATCCTTCAGGAGGTCCTAAAAAAGACACTTAATTAAGTTCATGTCGAAGGTTGAATATTATCAGTATAAAAATTCCAATGGTAGAACTTTCCAAGTGAGAAATATTCCTAGTACAGTTGTTACCTTCACATACAGATCCATTCCCAAAATATCCTGCATTGCATTGACAGTCGTAGGATCCAGCGAAATTGAAGCAAGAAGCGAACGGACTGCAGTTGTCAATGTCAAAATCGCATTCTGAAATGTCTGAAAAAAATAATAATAACGCAATCCAGTGATTTTGTTCACAATTAGGAAAATGACTCAGCGATTTGGCTCTTCGTGATGAGTGTTGAGTATACGCTCGCCGCCGCACCTCTGATTACACTGCGTGGGTTCGAATCCCACGCGGGGGTGGTTATGTGCAAGAGGATTGCTGGACTCCTCGCCGTTGTAGGGTGATGCACGTAACCGCTGGTCGGTTACGGCTTCTTCCGCCACCAAATCCATGCATCCGAAAACAGATGAAACTAATCACATACCTGACATGGACTGGCAACAGGACGAGAAGCCGTCTTATTGGATTTCCTCTACCTACAGGATAAATATGTAAATCCTATCCTAAATCTGAATAGTCAAGCCATATCTATCTAGTCCATATTAGAGGTTATTGAAGTTTTTTCGGCAAATGGCTGAAAAAAGTACTTATTTTTGCGAAATACCATATCATATACTTGCTGAACCAGAATGATTTCGTTTCTTTCAAAAATATGACGTGTAACCTGTTCATTTCGCAATTTTATTAAAATTTCAGCTTGCGAATTACCGCAAGATACGTAAAACAAGGAAAGAATGGATGAAAATTGAGCCCTCATATCAAAACTATCTTGAGAGTAAGTCAGAGACGATCGCGACAATCTTGTGTTACTGGTCATCAATCGTGGATCATTTTCTAACACTCTTTGCTCAAGAAAAACTGAAAAGCTTGGCTACGACATCCTCCCATTTTGAGAGGAAATCTGTACAAAGCCTTGTTCAGAGTGCACCTGCAAAACACTTTAAAAGAAAAACAATCTTATGTCCTCTCCTGTCTGCGACCTTAGTTCCTACTACAACATCGCCCCTGAAAGCAGCAACAAAACAATTTCTCTGAATATCTATACTGGCATGAGAAAACAACATCGAAAATACTTCTCATTTCTTCTATAATGTAAATTATTTTACCTGTACAAGTCAGGCCATCACCAGTGTATCCCAGCACGCAAACGCATCCAAAATTCCCGTTCCCGAGGTCTTGACAATCTCCATTTTGAGCGCATTGCGTTTCGGTACAAGTACTACCTGTGAATACAATTAACAAACGATGTTATAGTTATTATATTTTTATGTTTTTTTCTACGGATCAGAATTTTTTCAGTCTCGGATCAATGTCTGAAAGACATGCCATATCCGAGTCGTATCTGTACTAACGCTTCGTAGTCATGTTGCGGGGTCCGCAACAGTCATACATACTTGGGGGCTTCCGTATCCGCTATGTATTGCAAGGCAAAGACTTCTACCCCGAGCTTGTGTGTCCGCCATGACAGATAGCATAACGGCTGATCAGGACTTCCGTCAAAGCCATTCATAGCAAAGCCCAACTTCCGCCGCCCCGGCTTCCGTACATACTGTGTGAAGACGTGTAACACGCACACAACATGACATCCACCGCGAGGCTTCCGATTCATCATTTCCGTGGAAAATTGGAGATGGTATTACAAAAGTTTAAGCTCCTATTTATGGGAGATGAGGGAGCGCCGTCAAAGACTTCTACGTTTCACATTCTTTCCGAACAAGACACCAGACAAAGTAAACCGTTATCGATACGCGGAGTTATAGTTTTCGAAAGGACCACGGAGCGAATTTGCAGTCTACGTCGTAGGCAATGCAGAACCAAAAAGATATTAATACTCTCGAGAATAGGAGCTCTCTGCATATGAGCGGCTTATTACTTATCGATTTTAATCGGTAAGTATGTTGATAGGTATTTGTCTGTCTGTATGTCTGTTAGATACACGCGATATCTCACGAAAGCGAGATTGAATCTTCCCCAGATGTGCATTCATCATATCCCGGACCAGAAGCCTGTTAATTTTAGGCGAATTATGTCGTATAATTAGCGAGTTTTTATTTAATTAGTGATGGGACACAAGGTGTCACTATGGAGTAAGAGCGCGGTTTTGGGGGATCCCCTAACTTTCGATCGATAAGTCTTCGGTCTCTGACCGATATTCTCGTTTATTTATTGCCTTCACATCTATCGTGTGGTGTCTTTACGATTCCAAGTTCTAGTTATTTAAAAAATTCAACGACATGGTACCAGAAAATGTGACATCTTACTACCCGTTTCTCTTTAGCGAGGGGGGGATTCCCCAGTACGCTAGTATCCACAACTAGATATATTTTATCGTCATATTTTACCTGTAGTTGTCGGGCTTGATGTTGGAGGCGCAGTAGTCTCACTAGAGGTCGTTGTTTCGTCTGGTGTGGGAAGGATTAATGCTGAACGAGAAAGAAGGATAAATTTATTGGACACGTTTAGTGGCCATAACGATCGTTTCAAAATTTTGTTGTTATTGGACACGTAGTGGACATAACGATCGTTTCAATATTATGTTGTTGTTGTTCTTGTTCTTGTTCTTGTTCTTGTTCTTGTTCTTTGACACGTTTTTAAAAAGTCGCTTTTCTCTTCGAATACTGGACCAATTGCTTTGAAATTTTCAGTGGTTAAAGATTAATTTTTTCGCTAGAAGGCTATTACTTTTGTTTATTCCTAAATTTTATATGAATCCTATGAGATATGATATTTCATACAGAATTTCGCGGTATTTATTTTTACTCATGGGAACACTGTTTTACACTTATTTCAAGCGGTTTCGCGATCGATTGTCTTGCTCAGTACTACAGCTACTGTAGGTCGGTACTGGTAAGTTGCCATACAGGTACCGTAACGCAGTGAAATTGACTTATTCCTTCCGCGGTATTACTAATGCTGCAATGCAAGTTTTATAGCCTATCGTATGCGGAACGGAATATCAGACCTACAGGTTCGGTACCGGTACTGGTAGCTCAGTACGTAAGTACGATACTGGTACTGGTGCCGGTACCGGTGTCTTACCACAATGAAATTACCGTAACTTATTCTTTCACGGTCCTACCAGTGCAGTAATGCAAGCGTTGTAGCACTTGTAGCCTACTATATTTGTTTATTTTGATGAGAGTCTACTGGAAACAACATAAAATTTGAAAGGGAAGAATTGTTCTGTGATCAATTATCTGTCCTAAAGTGTAAACAACATAAAATTTGCAAGGGAACAACTGTTCTGTGATCAATTACCGTATATGGCCTACAGTGTACAGGTAAGATGCTGCCTGACTGCTAACTCAGTACCGCTTGACACGTTTTTAAAAGTCGCTTTTCTCTTCGAATACTGGACCAATTGCTTTGAAATTTTTAGTGGTTAAAGATAAAAATTTTCTCCAGAAGGCTATTACTTTTTTTTTCGCTATGACGTCATCAAAATTATGTGACTCTACGTGTCCATATATTTGAGCATAGCTCTCTTGTTGTTATGGTTATTTGTCTCCGTCTCCATTTTTAAAAAATCGCTTTTCTCTTCGAATACTGGACCAATTGCTTTGATATTTTCAGTGGTTAAAGATAAAATTTTTCTCCAGAAGGCTATTACTTTTTTTTCTCGCTATGACGTCATCAAAATTATTGCCACTGGGTGGCGCTACGTGTCCATATATTTGAGCATAGCTCTCTTGTTTTATTACATGTTGGGTGCAAGCTCCCAGACCCCAAGCAAAGAAAAGTAACGAAGAATTTTAATCTCGATGAAATCTCTTAGATGATAAGTCGAGTCCAAAATCGAATGATGAAAAGAAAAGAGTAGTATAAATTGATTAAATTACCAAAATTTCATGTTTTTACGATGGGTTATAAGTCCCACCGGTGCTCCTGAAGTATGCGCACCAAAATGTCGCACAATCTGAACCCTAACCTGGTACACAACCTGAGTTCAGGTTGTGTGACATCTTGGTGCGCATACTTCAGGAGGTCCGTCCCACCGCCCCGAATCCCAAGTTGAGTTGACGTAGCCCGAGTTCCGAGCAGTGGCGACTGTGGCGTATCTAAGGTGTGGCAGTCATGGTTCGTGTAGGTTTTTTGTGTAGGTTAGTTATTGATCTTATATACTTCAAATTTTTGAGAAAGCTGACTCCAATCTGGCTTATGTTGTGCCAGTGACTGGAGTATCCCGTACACCGATAACTGATAAACGACAGTACGACAACTCAACTCCGCTACATTCTAAGCCCCTTCTCAAATGTTCTCGATTTATTGAGTTTATAGAATGCACAAAACAAGCAGGAGAGTGAATAAATATCCCAACAGACCTGCTCGACCTTATTGATAAGAAAACATTCATGTTTGCCTAAACTAGGGGAAGCTACCTGAGGCCCCGTGCCAAACGCGGCCCCAAAGAAAACACTCCTGCACTAAATTATGAAGTGCATGCATATTTACTTGTTCCAAAACTTACATGCTTTAGCGCGTCGGTGTGGCTCAACGGGCTAAGCGCTAGGAATACGCTCGCCACCGTACCTCTAATTACTCTGCGTGGGTTCGCAGGTTCGAATCCCATGCAGGGATGGTTATGTGCGAGAGGATTGCTGGACTCCTCGCCGTCGTTGGGTGGTTCACGTAACCGCTGGTCGGTTACGGCTTCCTCCACCAAGTCCATGCTTCCGAAAGCAAACAATATAACTAATCTCATACCCGACCTGGAATGGTAACCGGACGAGAGGCCGTGGTTCGCCATATGGATAAGCCGTCTTATCGGCTTTCCTCTCCCCCGGGATAAATAAGTAAATCCTATTCTATCCTGATAATCTTAGCCTAATAGCTCTTTAGGAAAATGTGACTGTTACCGCACTTACGAATAACATGAGTTGACGGTTCCTGAAGCACATTCTTCACTTCGCCTATGAAGTAGGATACAGTGACGGTGTAAGACACACACACATTGAGTCCACATATCTTAGCTGTTGCATCTGACGTAGTTAGTGACGTAATTATATTGGTGACGTTTGCAGGACCGATGCTGACTTCAACCTAAAATACAGAGTTACCGATGTTGAATTTTAGATTTTGTAACTTTTGAAACTAACGACTTTCTATATTATAAATCTTGACGTACTGGTCTTTACTAACAATAACACGACATAACACACGACAATGCGATACTTGAACTTGTTTTGAAGATCATAACGCAGCTGAGTGTCCGATATTGTCAGTTGTACTTCTCTCGCTACGTGAACGGTGGAATAAAGGTACTCCCGTTGTATGTGAACCAAGGTGGCGAACACCGGAACGTAGTATGTGTACCAGGTTAGGGTTGCGCCATAATTTCAGGTACAAATACTACGGGAGTCACTTGGCTAGTCCCTGAACTAGTAACAGAACTAAATAAAAGGAAAATTGGAATAAAAATATGGCCTAACCCTAACCTGGTACACATACTACGTTCCGGTGTCCTCCATCTTAGAGTACCAAAATAAATGTGTTGGCCAGAGTCTTCTGAAAGTATTGGAGTCGGATTCCTTATCCTGTGATTAAGTTGTCTTATCGCCCTTCTTATCTCCCGGTAAAATATGATAATTCCTATTTCATTCTTTCTACTTACCAAATACTCGAGAACGTCCGGCACTGGTGTCCATGTTATTTCCATACATGACGATCCAATCGCAGACTGACCTGGAAAAAAAAAACGTTGGTCAAATTTTAGGTGAACTACCAGCCTCATAGAACTCTGAAAAAGTTTGAAAAATAACTTATAACGACCTAAATATCGCCGGGTAAATATATAACATCGATCAGAGATTATACTCATTTCAGTGGCCGGCAAACAGTGTGCCACGTCCCAATCGTAATACGTTTACGACGGTTATCTCGCATTCTTGTGAAACTATGCTATAAGCAGACTGGGTTAGACCATTATTTGCTAGTCAGATGGCCTGCCGACCAAATACAAGTATTTCGCAGAGCACATGGGTATTTACAGTATTATCTTATTTGGTAGATTCCAAATCACATCCAGGTCATCATACTGAAAAGGACGGGAAATTTTCTTATAAAAAGAAAGGCGCTCCCGAAGTGGCGCGGCGGTGTGGCTCAACGGGCTAAGCGTTAGGAATACGCTCGCCACCGCACCCCTAATTACTCTTCGTGGGTTCGCAGGTTCGAATCTCATGCAGGGATGATTATGTGCGAGAGGATTGCTGGACTCCTCGCCGTCGTTGGGTGGTTCACGTAACCGCTGGTCGGTTACGGCTTCCTCCACCACCAAGTCCATGCTTCCGAAAACAAACAATACAGTAAAACTAATCCCATACCCGACTTGGAATGGTAACCGGACGAGAGGCCGTGGTTCGCCATATGGATAAGCCGTCTTATCGGCTTTCCTCTCCCCGGGATAAATATGTAAATCCTATCCTATCCTAAGTACGTGCAACAAGATGACACACAACCTGCACCCCAACCTCGTACACATACTATGTTCAGGATGTGCGCCATCTTGGTGCACATACTTCGGGAGCTCCAAGGAAATATCTGAAAACGAAAATCGCGACTAGTATTTTGGGCCCAATTCAGCTGCCCCGTTTGGAAACCACTAATAGTTCAATTTTCGTCCAAAGATTGTCAATCTATTTGTTTATTAGTGTTAAAAGCATAATATTGTCATTACATTAGTTAGTTATCTAGCCCATGGGCAGATCGAGGTTAAAACCATAAACGATAATTTACGTCAATCTTTTCACGCAATCTTTTTTCTGAATAAAATATCAGATCTCATAGTATTTATAGGAAATTTAGCAATAAATAAGAGTATAAGCTTTTTAGCGAAAAATAAAATCTTTAACCACTGAAAATTTCAAAGCAATTGGTCCATTACTGAATGAGAAAAGCGATTTCTTCTTAACAACGGGGAAAAGAAACCAATAATATCAACAACAAAAACATAATAGCAAAACGTTCCATAAGTCCATTTTTTGTCCAATAAAAACAAATTTGCTAAACAATGTATATTTTTTGTCCAATAACAACAAATTTGCTAAACAATGTATAATAGGTTCAATTTGCGTCCAAAGATGGTCATGTATTTATCAATGTTTTAAGTATATTTTCATTACATTGGTTATTTAGCTGGTTGCGGTTAAAAGCATAAACAATAATTTACGTCAATCATTTCACGCAGAACAGATGTTAAATGTCATCGAAATGAAAATAAGTCGTTTCGTGAAAGTTTAATTATGCGACATAGACCATTTTATACCTCAAAATGTGATGATATTCTGAGTGCATTAACCCGTTGCTTCGATATGATAGGCCTGCTTTAATTCTAAGCAAGAACAGATCTATGGAACAAAGCCCACTCCCAACGCTAACGAAAAAATGTGAGGTTTTAGAAATACTACCCCGCCACGTTTTAAAATAAAAAATAGTAATTATCATGTTAGGGTTCGGGTTAGGAATGATTTGAAAATTTGAATTCGCATCGCAATTTGCTTTCACAGCCCTATCTGGATAATATTGGGGTAGTATTTCTAACATTTTTCGGTGCTCCCGAAGTATGCGAACCAAGATGGCGGACATCGGAACGTAACATGGGTAACAGGTTAGGGTTAGGCGATAATTTTTTTCCAATTTTCCTTATTTTAGTCCTATTATCAGTTCGAAGACTAGTCAAGAGCCTCCCGTAGTATTTATACCTAAAATTATGGCCTAACCCTAACCTAGTACACATATTACATTCCGATGTCCGCCATCTTGGTTCGCATACTTCGGGAGCCCCCATTTTTCCATTAGCGGCGGGGAGATTGTACAAAGGATCCACAAGAACTCCTAAATTCAAAATCCGTAACTTGCAATCTGAATAAAACCATCGCTTCGACCTTCTATCCAGCCCCAGTACCCGTGACAAAAATGTAAGTGACCAATAAGGAGCTAAACTTATGTTGATGTGCGGGAGCTTCTACCAGATAAACAGAAACTAAAAACATAACGGAGCAAAACAAACATAACAATCCCCGAGGTATGGCTGTGTTTTAATATGCGCAAGGTTTTTTATTTGCAAATGTAAACATCGTAAAAAAATTCTCAATTCCCTCAATTTTTATACATCGTGACAAAGTTGTTTGATGTTGAAAATCCAGTTTCATCGATATATCTGAAAGCACTTTGCACCCCCCGAGGCGGACGTGGGGGCTTTGGGGCGGCGTGGAGTATGTAGTCGAAGTTTATTTACGGTTGTTCCTTATAGTGGTCTAATCCGTAGTCGTATTTTTAATTTCTCATAGTCGGAGTTGGAGTCAAAAATTTGGAGCTTCCGGAGTCCGGAATCTCAGACATCTCAAGGTCCGAAGTCGAAATTTTGAAAGAGATTGCAAACGTTTGAGCAGTCAATATTTTGTCATGAATATATATTACATTTCCGTTTGAAGTGTTTTAGTTTCTATTCATAGGAACTACAGTAATTTAAAATTTATTTTTACCTCTGTAGATTTATTTAGTGTCAGATTGTGCAAAACATCACGTGCGAGTATGACGCCATAATCTGTTGATTGTTACGACACCCACTTTAGGTGTTCCCGCTCCAGTGAACTTTCAATCAAGCGAAAAAAGTACGTGGGTGAGAATATTAGGAAGTATGGAAGTACGGGAGTACTGAAAAAATGATATCGTAGTAAAAAAACTAAAAAATTTGGTAAGTGGACACCAGTATAAACTAAACAAGTAAGCTATGCTCAAATATATGGACACGTAGCGCCCCCTAAATGGCAATAATTTTGATGACGTCATAGCGGGAAAAAAAGTAATAGCCTCCTGGAAAAAAATTTTATCTTTAACCACTGAAAATTTCAAAGCAATTGGTCCAGTATTCGAAGAGAAAAGCGATTTTTTAATGATAATGACGAAAGAAAATAACAATAACAACAAAATTTTGAAACGATCGCTATGGCCACTAAACGTGTCCAATAATCAGATCTGATATTTTTTAATTATTCTTGACAAGCATACAAATTGTGATGAGCGACATATAGTACTATAATTTCACCTCGTGAATATACAGGGTGTCCATAAAATCCCTTTACAATTTTAATTTTGTTAAAAGTCAGTTCTCAATATATCTTAACCAGGTTTGCTCTTTTTAATCAGTGATTGTTCAGGTATTTTTACTTCATTTAATACATCAGTGAGGGCCAAAACAATATATGGTATATAAATTCCAATATATGAATTCCCTTTGCAATTTTGAAAAAATTGAAGACCCTATGGTCACCCTATATCTAACATTGATTTCGAATTCTATTTGAACCGATTTATTTTAACATTACCAAATCAAAATTGACGTTTGCAAAACAGGAAATATCTTTTTTGGAGGCTTTAAATTCCCGAAATAAACTGGAAGTTTCAAATGTCCTACTGGAATGACGAATATACTTTTTATGGATATAAATTTCCGTTGAAAATATCAATGAAAGTAACGTCATAATGACCCCTATTGTTGCGTTATATAAACGTTAGCCTAGCTGTTGTAAATAAACTGTTTTGTTCATAGTTTTCATATTGAGTTTTGGGCCAACGGCCCAGTAACTATGTCTGTTATGTATAACTGTCCCATTCAGAAAAAATATTGTCCACCCCTGGAATATAGTACTATCAAGAACAGATGTGATGGCCCAAAAATCATTTATCATAAGTGAAATACCGCAGTCAAATACACATCACGAGATATCGAGTCGCTCGGCTACCGAGGTAGCACTCTATTCTCAATTCTTAACAAGCCGTAAATAGCGACATATACTATAATTTTACTTTGTAAACGTTAGGTTATAGGGTACTCCTGAAGTATGCGCACCAAGATGTCGCATAACCTGAACCCTAACCTGGTACACAACCTGAGTTCAGGTTGTGCGTCATCTTGGTGCGCATACTTTGGGAGGTCCAAAATATATCTAGCATTAATTTTGGATTGCATTTAAACTAAATTATTTTAACATTACTAAATAAAAATTAACCCATTTGCATAACAGGAAATATCCTATTTCCAAGGCTTTAAATTCTTAAAATAAACTGTAAGTTTCAAATATTCTACTGCTGTTTAAAAACACAAATATTTATTTTTCGTTCTATTCGTGAAATGATTTCACAATTATGGAGTTGCGTGTCGCAAAACATATTGAATAACACTCTACAAAGATTTTAAGCGTGTCCGTAAGTGATTTTTAAGGGTCTTTCGCTTCGAATATAGCTCTATTGATCAGTGATATCTGATATGTTACAGCAGGGCTTGTCAATGTTTTAAGATCGCGACCCCTTCCAATATAATAAAATTTCTTGCGACCCCTTGTTCCGAGAAGGGTGATACGACGCTTACTCGTGCCGTTTGCCCCAAACAAAGTCAGATAAACGTATCCACTGATATCTAATAATATCTTAAAGAATGGCATAGCCTTCTTATGTCTTCTTAGACGGTATTGTAAAAAAAAATGGAACAATATTTATAATAGCTCTGGGCTTTTTCTTAAGCATTCAAATTATTGTTGCACATTCATAACGATGACGTCATCACTCCATTGTTTCGCTTCGATGACGTCATAGCGTACTATGAGGTATAAATATGATGATTCAAAACTCATATTAATCATAGGGGAAATACCACAGTCAAGTAAACACACCAAGAGATAACCAAGAGATAGACATTTAGACTTGAAAAAGTACGTATTATTTCCGTCTCTAAACAGAAACAATATATTTGAAACTTTCGATTTATTTGGGAAACTTTAAAACACTAAATAAGATAATTCTGACCGAAACAATGATATAAAAACGCGTTAATTTTTCGCCGATAAAGGGCGATCAAAAACCTAAAATGTATGCTAATGCTATAAATAGTGAAAAATCTGTCATATGTTTTGATTTTGTTTGTTAATAGCCGAACAAAATTATTTCCTCTCAAATACGGACATTTCCGCTACTGATATTTCAAGGTACAAGTCTATAAAAAGAAAGATGATTGTTCTGATTACTCTTTTTAACGTCTATGATCACAGCACAGTCACATTACGAGCAAACAAAAAATATTTAAATCCGAAAAACCACGTATTATTTCTAGTTATAAACAGAAGTATGAGAATTGAAACTCCCGATTTATTTTTGGAATTTCGAAGCCTTCAGAAAATTATTTTATTTAAAAGCGATGAATTTACCGATCAGAAATTCCGAAAAAAAATTAGTTTGAACAAAATACTTGAGATTCTAATGCGATAAACAGGGTAAAATCTGTCATGAAGAGTAGATGATTGTTTTATTCGCGATTTTCAACGTTCCCGAGTCGTTGCGGGCCTAATCAAGTCACAACCTGAAATTAGACATTTAGATCTAAAAATATTGGGTATCATTCCCGGTTCTAAACAGAAGTATGCGAGTTAAAAATTTTTTTGAAGAGTTGAAACCTTTCAAATTGTTTATTTCCCAACCAAAACACTGCTATAAAAAGGCGTTAAATGTACTGACTAAATATATCTATGAAAAGTCGACCTGTGTTTGGACGCGATTTGTTTTCTACCCCCATCAATAAATTATTTCGTTTCAATGACGTCATATAGTACTATCAAATTTAAATCTGATGGCCCAAATGGGAAATAACGTAAATATATTACCATATCACGAAGAAACCAAAAATAGACATTCAGACCTTTATAAAGTACTTATTATTTCTGTTTCTAAACAGATGTAGGACATTTGATACTTTGGGTTTATTTTCGGAATTTTAATTCCCTTCTGAATAGGATATTTCCTGACCGAAAAACTGGTATAAAAATTCGTTAAATTTTTTCGATAGAATACTGAAAAACTTTGGTTGAACGAGAAATTAAATTTGTTGTAAAAAAAGGTTAATCTAGAAAAGGGATTTCAAAACTGGGGGTCGAGACCGCGCTGGGGGGGTGCGCGCAACGAAGTTTAGGGGTCGCAAAGAGTACACCAATTTCACACAATGTACCATAATCATTGTACATTTTTTAGACTTTTGATTCGAAACACAATTATTAAAACTAGCGCAATACATAAACACATGCGGCCCGTTTCTCAGAACAGGGTGTCGCGAACAATTTTAATATATTGGATATATATTGGCTCGCGATCTGAAAAGTTTCATGATTTGGAATATATGTGAAAATCGAAAGTCGCAAAAACTTCTGAAACGAGAGTTCTGCTTTGTTGAATCAATCTTTAAATGGGATGTTTCTTGAACAAACACTTTTATGATGGCGCATTAAAGTTGCCGATCGGAGATATCTATAAAATTTAGTTTTAACGGAATCGGAATTACTGCTAATCAAAAAGAAAGTATTCCAAAAATTCCAAAATTGGATATATTTTCCTCTGTAAGTTCTGACATTTATTGTTAAAATCGTTTGCTCATTTGTAGAAAGACTTCGCTAAATAAAAAACACCCCTCATCCAAGTTTTAAAATGAAAAATCAATAATTATTCGGTTAGATTGGGAATGTAGATTGCGCTAAAAACTCATTTTTTTCAAGTTATTCTTAACCCTGGATACTAACTGGATAATGACTATGTTAATATATATATTATATGTTTTATGGCGCTTATAACCTCAGTGGTCTTTTGCGCCTTTGATCACTTTAAATTTAAAAATCATATACTAACCTATTATACAATTGAATCAATTACAATAGGTAATTTTTTCTAAATATTTCTGCCCGTGGACAAAACAAATTCGATAACAGTTTCAATAATGTGCATGTTACTAAGCACTTCTTCCAAAGTCATTTCCAGTTTAAATTCTCTGGCTTTGCAATGACTGGGCTCCTTTGATGATTATATTGATGACAATGCAATAGGTAGTGGGCTACGGTCTCGGGTACGAAACACTGTTCACAATTAGTTTTTATTTTAAAATGCGGCGGGTGTGTTTTTCTTAAATCTCACATTTTTGCATTTGTGGCGGGAGCTATCTACCTAAGATGCTTAACACTGAAATCATAGCCAAACCTAACCTGCATGATAAAGCGGGTCTGGTATAGTTTAGTACCACATCCACTTCTAGTTGGCCTGGCTGAACAATTTTTGCATATGTCAATCCTAACCCCCACCTGACTACGTCACCGAAAAATTACGTCATTCCGACGTCACAGTGGCGTAATAAGGCCCACCGAAGTATGCGGATGGTCGTCCAAAACGGGCAGACGATAACCCGAAATCAAGCAAGCTGTTTCTCTCGTTTTCTCGTCGCAACGATCACGATAGGAGAGAGATCGCCGGCTTTAGCAAGTTCTTATCAGCGGCGCAGATGCCATTTCGGGCGATCGTAATTATACTTTGGCAATCCCTATGACGTGATGGTGACGTCGTAGTTACGTAATTTTTGGATGGCATAGTCAGGTGAGGGTTGGGAATAACATATGCAAAAATCGTTATGCTACGCCACTGACATAGGCAAACTAAAGCCCGCGGGCCAAATCGTGCCCGTTGGGTAATTCAATCTGTCCCGCCCTATGCTGCGACAACCAAACTAAAACCGAATTTTGATGTTTTGGCAAAAAAATAACCTAAAAAATTTGTTGAATTTGTCTATTGAATTGCGAATAAATTAAGTTTGGCACGAGGCTTACTGTTTTCCACTTTTGCTTTTGTAACACTGTAAACATTGTTCAAAAAATGCAACTTTATACGTCACACTTACATGGCCCGCCAGTCTAGGTGGGCAAAAATTTTGGCCCTTGGTTCAAAAACATTGTCCACTCCTAGAACCTATAGAACCCAAAGTCATCCTTAAGCTATCATGAATCCAGATCACAAACATGTCTCCAATAAAAGAGTCAAATATCACGCGGATTTGCGCGGGATTATAAAGTCGTTAAATGCCGAATTCGAATACAAAACATATCGCAATGCAACATATAATTTAGTGGTTACGAGATTTGAAAAGTAAACGATTCCCACAACATTCGATGAGAACGATATGGCTCAAATTGTCAGTTAATTTACCAAAATAGACATTTTGCGATCAAGCCCAATTCCACCAAATCCATGCATCTGAAAACAAAAACCTATCAAATCACATACCAGAAATAGACTAGTAACCGGATGAGAGGCCGTGGTTCGCCATAAGATTAAAACGTCTTATCGGCTTTACTCTCCCCCGGGATAAGTACGTAAATGCTATTCTTATATATTTATGGTCGCTGTGATATTTCCAACATACATAATTACGATTGATCAACTCTACAATACCAAATATAAAATAAACAATAAAATTAACTAGAAAATATTTTTGTCTGATAAACGTGCCACCCAAGAAGATTTTAACGATATGGTTTATTATGCTACAGCAACCCGTCATTTACTTTGCTAAAGTGGACATTCTGCGATCAAGTCCAATTCCTTAAATTAAAGTGTGTGTTAAAAGCACCACGTAATATTTAAGTTCAGATTTATACAACTTTTTATGAGCTATTTTTTCCCCCAAGCAATATGTGAGACAAGCAAATTCTAACCCGTAATAACATACTATATTTTTCTATATAGAGATCAAGCAAAGGCCATAGAGCAGTGTTTCCCAACCCCTTTTCAAGCGATTCATATTTAAATAAAAATACAGTAGTATCTTACCTATGGCTTCCAAAACTGCTGGATGACACGTCGATATCTCGTGTATTATCGTAGTGTATGGTGACAAATTAGCAAACTCCCTAAAACAAAAAATACGTTGTTCATTCTGAAAAATTTTCAAGGAAAGCAGGGCATTTTGCGTAATGAAATAAAAGTCTTAATCCGACTCTATCAGTTTCATCGTTTGAGAATGAAAAAACGTTCTCAGTGAGTACACTATCACTGTCTGTACTGCATTCTTTCTTTTCTTTCTCAAGTTCTGAATCCTTTTAGTCTTTTTGGGTGCTCCCGAAGTATGCGAACCAAGATGGCGGACATCGGAACGTAACATGGGTAACAGGTTAGGGTTAGGCGATAATTTTTTTCCAATTTTCCTTATTTTAGTCCTATTATCAGTTCGAAGACTAGCCAAGAGCCTCCCGTAGTATTTATACTTAAAATTATGGCCTAACCCTAACCTAGTACACATATTACATTCCGATGTCCGCCATCTTGGTTCGCATACTTCGGGAGCCCCCTTTTTTGGGTGCTACCTAATCTGCAGTTTGGTTCTTCCTCACTCAAACCAAAGCTACTCTCTGCATTGTGATCAACTTTATCTGGATCGCTATGGTTAACAGTATTTTTAATTTAACGTTTTCAAGGAAGTCGGGCATTTTGCGAAATGAAATAAAAACTTGATTTTAATTTCCTAAATGTGTCATTCTTATCTGTCTTATCTGAAAAACTTTATTTATTTGACATTTCAGTGGGACACTTGCATCTCTAGTTCTTGCATTGTTTGTTAACCTCAGCTTTGACAGAAGTTGTAGCAACCCTACTTGTCAAACATTATGTATTTTTACCCATGTGAGCACTTTTTTAACTGCTTTTATGCTTGGTGGGGGAAAATCTGAGAGTTGACAAGGGCCATGCTAAATGGCTTGGCGGACCGGGTTGTGGCCGCGGCGACATATAACAGGTAATTCTCTTATCTGACATGGTAATAAGATTAAGCTAACTCACTTTTTTTTTCCATGTTCTCGGGATGTATAATAAATACCCACCTCAGTCGGAATACGGCTAATACAGCGGTTCCCAAACGCGTCATGTTACTAAGTGCGCCGCGAATATTAACAGAATTGTGTTAAACATAATTAAAATATGATTGAATATTTTACATATTGTATTTAACATAAATGTTCTATTGTTTCATATTTTACATGCTGTGTATATAAATCAAGAAATTCATTTCACCTTTCTATGACCGTTTTCCTTTAATCTTTAGGCCTTTATGTTTACAAACGTTACAAGGCATTAAGTACACATTAACGATTACAAAATTGATTTTTTTTTTCAAGCAGCATTTTTTTTCGTGTGAGTGTGCCGTGAGTTTTTTTCCCTGATAATTAGACGCCGCACAAAAAAAAAAGTTCGGAAACTGCTGGCCTAATACTTCACTTCTCACAATTAATTAAAATCAAATCAAATTTGAAAATATTTCTTGAATAAGCAAATTATGATATAAATATATATATAAAACAAATTCCAATTTACTAACCTGTAATACGGACTGATAGAAAACTCGTATTCCGTGTCGAAATTGATAGGAAAAGAGAGGTTACTCGTTGTCTGTAATAAAATACACATATTTTAGGGGTGTGCAACCTTTTTCGCACGCGGGCCAAATATCAATAACCGGGTGAAACCGCGGGCCGTACCTACATTTAACACAGGCTTTCTATTAGCTGCAGGCACAAAATGATGTCTTTTTGTTATTGATCTCATGTCATCATTAGGGGTCCTTGCAGAAATGATGAGTTGAGATGCATAAATTTTTTAAAACTATAATTCAAATATACTGTCACACCCAATTTAAACGAATTCAGTGAGAAATTAGCTGTTGGGTCCTTTTTCCGACTACTTTTATCCAAATTTGCCTAAATGGAAGTGCTAGCATTTCGAAATGACGCCCATTTTAGGAAAAAAATATGTTACTGAAAAGTGCCATATTTGAAGCCATGACTTTTTTCAAATGTGGAAAGTTATCTTGGTTGAGATGTTTTCAGTAAAATACGCCAAGATTCAGTTCAAATAATTTGCTGTTAAATCTTATTCTAGGTTGGATTTAGACAAAATTAACCGATAGGCTGGAACCAAAACTCAGTTAGCTTTGGTATCTTTTAATATTATTTTCTTTAAACTGCTCTGCAGTTGCCTCCGCGGGCCGCACAATTTTCCCTTGCGGGCCGCATTTGGCCCGCGGGCCGCACTTTGCACACCCCTGTTTTAGATCAAAGCAGTCCGAGGGACAACCTAGTAACAGAGCAGGAGAGGTTCATTTTCTAGAATTGTCAAAAGCAACTAATAATATGTCAAGAGACACTAAATTTATAAAAGAAAAAAAAGGATCCAATATGTGCCAGAAAACGCCATAACTTCTATACAAAATAAACAAAATCCATTCTCACCGGTAAAACGGTTAAATGATAATTATTATCCGGTCCCAATAGATCGGTGGTTGACTTGCACTGCACGGGATAGAAGAGCCCGCATTCAGGTTGCGGGCACAAACATACATTTGTATTTTCTTGTGTCAAAAGCTGTTTGGCGCATTCAGGTATAGTATCGTTCGTGTCGCATACGCTGGTCTCTGTCGTTGAAATCCACATATGGTTTTCTCTGTTTAAAATGCAACTTTATTTTATTATTTGATTCAAGAGTATTTCTGCACACTAATACAAATGCATTCCTTGAAACGTTACAGAAGTACATTTGCGTTATTATGTAACAAGATTCTCAAAGTGGAATATTCATTTTCATTCTTGCTACAACATCATTGATAAATACAAGAAAAAAAGTTACTCTCGCGTAATTTCTTTATTTCGATTTTTAATAAGACGGTCATTGACGCCTTTCGCTTCGACCAAGGCCCGGTACAAGAAGCCACAGACATTCAACGATTTTTACGGTTTGTGAATTTTTTACGGTTTGTAAGTGTTTCAAGGGTCTGGTCGCACACTAACACAAATATATCTCTGTAACTTTTCGCTTGAACAAAATCAGACTTTCTCAGACTTACAAGTGTGCAGCAAGAAATGTTTTAAATCAGTGACTCCCAAGGCGCGGACAGCGGACCAATTACGATTCAATATGGCCCTCAAATTTAGGCGAAAAAGTTTGATACTCTATGTTTTACCTTTTTACGTTCTAGAAACCGCAATTGTTACGTCATTTTTCACAGTTAAACACGTGTAAATTTGCAACAATTCAATTATACTGGTATCTTGATTATACGTAGCAGTATCGACCCTTGCATGGGGTTCCCCTCTCGCGGCCACGAAAATCCTTCCGCTTATAATATTGACCAAGGCCAATAAATTTTTGGAACCACTGCTGAAAATATTCGGTTTGCTTTGAACTCCTGCTTCAATCACAAACTTACCCCAAATCGAAGCTTGTACTGTGCCTTATTCAGAGTTAAAACGCAAAAAAGTGTAAGTAAAAATAGAATAAAACATTAAACGGCGCTCCAGAAGTGTGTGCATCAATATGGAAGTAACTATTTTTGTTCGCCTACTTTACATCAAGTTGTGTAAAAGAACTGAAACCTATGGGCAGGGGGTATATTCACTTGGTTAACACAGACAGTCCCCGAACTTGTAATAGAACTAAAATAAGGAAAATCAGAATACCATTATGGACTAACCCCAACCTGATACACACACTACGGGCATATCCATTGTCCAATCAAAACTTACCCCGAATGACAGGCCGATACAGGTTCAATTGAATGAGAAGTGATAGAATGATTTCTCTTTGTTTCTGTGTCAAGGAGATGAACAGCAAACCCATCAAGTTGGACATCTGTGAATAAAAGTTGTGTGTGCGATTGTAAGTTCATACAGGGGAGTACCCAGAGGGGGTGTGGACCAGAACCCCCCACTTTCGAAATGTAAAAAAAAAAAAAAATTCTGTATCATACATAGCAAAACTCGTAGCTTGGAACGCTTTTGAGATCCATTAGAAGAGTGGTCACCAAAGTGTGGGTCGCGACCCCAAGTTGGGTCGCCTAGAATATTTCGGGGGTCACCCAGTGTCCGGCATTGTATTCTTGTTTTATTTTTCAATATTCTATTTCGTGCATTCTACACTGAGCTGACTAGCACTACATAGCAAGTTTGGGAATTCTGAATTACAGTGCTATCCTTTATAATAAGGCTATTGTTTGACAGCAATAATTAAATTCTAACACGAAATCTAGAGCGTGTGAAAAAAATTGTGGGAATGAGATTTTACTGTGATTAGTTTTTAGTGGTTTGAAATTTTTTTTTCCTTGTCATACCTTGGGGTCAGGAGCTTATCATACGTCATAATATTTGAAATGGGGTCGCGTCTGAAAAAGTTTGACGACCACTGCATTAGAAGATTCAGATATTTCTAATATTTCCTCGAAACGACATTGACTCAAATCGCTTTGATTCAAGAATGTATCAGGGGTGGACGAGGGTTTTGAACCAGTAACCAAAATTTTCGCACACCTAGACTGGCGGGTTGTAAGTGTGACGTAAAAATGACATTTTTTGAACAATATTATCCTGTCACAAAAGCAAAAAGCAAAAGTGGAAAACAATAAGCCTCGTACCAACACTAAATTTAATAGCAATTTCAACAAATTCGTTGAGTTATTTTACGTAAAACATCGAAATTTGGTTTGAGCTTGGTTGTGGTAGCATCAGGCGATCCAGATTGAATTACCCAACGGGATGGCCCGCGGGCCTTAGCTTGTCATGTTAGATCTAAAACTATCCTTTCTAGGTAAACTTACTGTTTGGTATACTTGCAACCCAGGCAACATCAGCGTACAACTGCAGACTCTTCGGTCCTGTGATTTCTACGTGGACGTCAGTCGATAGAGTGAATGTGACGTCATAAACATCCGCTGTTCCTGCAGAAGATAAGAAAAGATTTTACTCGCATTTTCCTGTATTAGACATAACAATTTTTCGTGGCTTAAAACCCATGTTTTCCAGCCTCCGGCCAGAACCGCTAGCAGCCACGCCTACAGTCTAACTTGGCAATTAGAAATGTCAAATAAGCAACCGAGGTGAATAAGCAATATCTGTAGAAATTTGTGAAAGGATGCAAGACACCATGTCCCATATATTTTTGTTTTTGAGAAACAAAGAACACAGAGAAAAGTGGGGCAATAACTTGACTTGCTCTCGTCCACAAAAACATTTTGAGATGCGCTACAAACCCGAAACGCGGAGTTACCAAGAGTTACCGAAAGAAAAATAGCTTAGAACCACTGCCTAGCATGACTTGAGATAGACAGAATTAAACAAAATTTGATTTACTTCTGGGTTTTCTCAATTCAACCGAGAACTTTAATTGAATGGATAGTATCAAGCGGTTGATTTACGCTTTTTAGATCCCAAGAATCTTAATAAAAACACGTTTTCAACCCGCTAGATGATACGGTCTTACTTGGCAAATAAAAATGTCATACGCCCCATAAAAGGTCAGAGTCATTTTGGTCAAAGCTTCATCACTACTGAGTGAGGTCGTGCGCCTTGCTTTTAGAGAATTCCCTTTAAAAGTGTAAATATGATCTAATAGGCCAGGGGTGCACAACACGGGGCACGCGTGACAAATTTGGCACGCCATACGCTCAAACGTGACACGCGAACGGATTTGTAAAAAGAAAATTATTTATGATATACATTAAAATATCACGTTTATATCAAAATTAGCAGTTTTTCAGGACATCAAATTGTTTCAATAAATATATATTCGTTGTTATGTATTATTATTAAAATTTGTATGATGTGTGTTTTCCGGGAGTTAATTTACAATACCAACGATTGTGCATGGCACGCGACAAGATTATTTTACAAAATTTGGCACGTGTCCTCATTCGAGTTGTGTATACCCCTGTAATAGGCCATGATTCCAGCCCCGGTCAGTCTGAAAAGCAGCTCTTTGAAATCAAAAATCTTCTCTCGTATATGGGAGTGCTTCGACAGCGCCTCGCTCGGAGAGAAAATAAATGACAATGGATTCAACTTACTGTTCCTACATACTCTTAGTTGTCCGTTTACTCCAAGTAAAAGTAATGTCCATATTGATATAAATCCAAAGTAGTATAGTGGAGGTTTCTTTGAAAGCGACATTTCAGAAATGTTTCAGTATGGAACTTATATTAATTATGTACTTGAAAATATCTGAGAGAAAAAGTAAACAAAAGTAAATAAATGAGTTCTTCTATTCCGTTTGTCTCATGATGTGTTGGAATAAGTTGAGGATAGGGTTTACATATTTATCTCGGGGGAGAGTATAGCCGGCTTAATCACGTGACGAACCACGGCATCTCGTTCGGTTACCAGTCAATGTCGGGTATGGAATTGGTTAGACAAGTATTTGTTTTCAGACGCATGGACTTGATGGTGAAGGAAGTCGTAACCGACTTGAGGTTACGTGAAACACCGAACGTATGACGCATGCTTGTCTCACCTTTATTTATTGATAAGTTAAGTTATTGTCACACATTTCAACTGTAAAAACTGGGAACTATTATTTTATTATCCTTCTACTCTGATTCAGTGATTGTGAATGGGTGACGTCAATAGGGAGGCTTAATTATTCTGCTAATATTTCCTGAAAGCCCACTAATTATTACCTTGCCTTAATTACCTTACCCTAGTCTAGTCTGAGAAGGCAACGAACGCTGGAATACTCAGTAAACCGTAACAGTCCGTTCAAGACGTAAACACCGTCAAATTATTAAGTATTCTACTCAGTACACCCCCTACAGCTCTGACGCTAGAAACAAGCAAGAAAACGATTGTACCAGAGCTTTCAGTTTAAAACTTGGAAGTGGGATAATAACCTAATCTAACCGAAGGATTCGAAGAAAGCGCGTCAGAAAAGTTAGCAGCAAGATAATTGGCAGCCAAATAATCAGTCAAATGTCTCACAACCTATCATAATTGATCACAACAAAAATACCACTTGAGGACAATTATCATACCTTTAAAACTTCAAAATACCAATCCACTTTTATACTTAGTACATCTCGCTATGTTTCAAATACCAATTTATAGTAATTATGTATAGCCATATTATTCCAAACTTTCCACTAATACCAGCTCAAGAATTCCATTCGTGATGTAACATTGACGAAAAAATTCGAAACGTAAAACAACAGTAAACACAAAATATTTTTACCAAATCGTAAGAAAAAACATTCAAAATTTAAGTCTAATAAGCATAATAAACCAAATCCTCCGTTTTATCGCTGTTTTCCTGAAATAATAATAATAATCAGCTTGCCAAATTATCTTGTACTGATCTAGCCTGTAAAAGATAACTCTGGGACAATAATAATAGGATCGTACTTAGTAAATACACAACGGCCGTTTGAGACTAAGGATGGCGGATTCGAGTATGGATTCGATTACAGAATCGATTCTTCGCGGAATCGACTAGAATTCTTAAGGTTTAAACTTGGGTTGCAAACAATATGTAACGTTTTCTGGCAAGTACTTCACATATAGGTATATACTACTTTACTGTTATGCTGAGTTACTACGACGTCGCAAACTTCACTATATATGTATTTTTCGCTAGAAGGCTCTTACGTTTATTTATTTCTAAAACCTCGGTGGGTCCTCAGGAATTCGTTTTTGTGCGGTTTTGTCTACTGTGACAGATTGAATATCCATACTACTTAATTTTGGCCTTGTTGTTTTTCCACATATTCTAACATAGCTCTCTTGTTTGATTTCATGTAGTATTGTTTAAGTTGGTACGTTTTCTCGGCAAGATATGTCGAGGAATCGAGATTCGGAATCGAGAATCGGAATCGAAAATTTAGAAATCGGATAAGAATCGAATACTTGTAAGTAGTCATACTTAGCATCCTCATTTAGGACGTAAACATCGTCAAAGTATTAATGCCGTATTCTACTCAGTACAACACCCACAACTCTGACTCTGGAAGCTAGCAATGAGAGGATTGAACCAGGACTTTCAGCGTTGGTATGTGGGACTGCTACGAAAATCCAATCTAATCCCCTGATAGGCAGAATTGAAGAGAGCGAGTCAGAAAAATTAGCAGCAAAATAGCACCTAACAATAAACACAAAATATTCCTATCAAATCATAAAAAAATCACTAAGTACTTTTAATCCACTAAATTAGGTTTGACAAGTTAGTTAATCTGTTCAAAACGAAAAAATCTTCTAAATTTTATCCAAATTATATCGCACTGAGTACATATTTCTATGTTTTTACCTGAAATACCAACTCATAGTTCGACTCTATGAGAATCACATTTCGGCTGTCACGGCAAACAATCAGATAAATGTCTCACAACCTACTATGCTTGGACATAACAAAAATAGCGCTTGGAGACAAGTTTTATATCCACCCCACACATGGACAATGTAAAAAGTTGAGGAAGCGATCCCGTGACACTATAGAACAGCCGCAGGGCTTCGCGCGAATTTTCAAGGAGTTTTGTTGCATCATAATACGTGAAATAGACCAAATCGAAAATATGAAAAAGCCGTGATTTATTGAAGTAAACATACCGTATATATTATATTGATATTTTTCGGATTTTTTGTTGTTGTTGTTGTTATATCGGAATCTCGGGGCAAGAACCAAGTATATTAAACGGTTCCATTACATTTGAACCCACGTACATTTGAACCCACGTACATTTGAACCCACGACAATTGCACCTGAATACTATTGCACCTATGGAAATTTTTTTGGTTTTACGAATATTTGTACCCATACTAACCCTAACCCATGGGTTTTAGCACTCGCATATAGATTGGACCCGTGGATATACACATGGGTTCAAATGTACATGGGTTCAAATGTACGGTCACCATATTAAACATACATCGGTGCTATGTGGTCATTACCCCATCACTAATTTTCATTAGGTTAGGAATAAGTTAGTGCAAATGTCGGGCAACCTTTTGTCGTTCGCGTACCAAAATTAAGGTTGCACATATTTTAAAAAGTTGAAAACCGAACGATACATCTCTCAAATAGAATATAAATTTATTTCCTCATTGCATTGCATCTCAAACAATTCCATTTGAATATTTTCGGCGCCATTGAACCCTTTGTACTTCAATTTTTCTGCGTTTTGTTGTCATTTGTCTAATTATAATCAAATTATATGCTCATTAAACGAGTAATTGTGAATTGTATACTTGTTAGGTTATAATATAATTTATTTTACACGTGTCTCACAATAAATTCTGTTACTTAAACTAAAGAATATATTCGTCAAAACAGCTGTTTTGTTACTATAATTCAGTGACGCGTTGCGGACCGTATTATATTACTCATATTACTCGCCGGGCCGTAGGTTGCCGACCCCTGAGTTAGGGTATAAGGTATTATTTGTTCAAGAAAAACGATGCTAAAGCCTGATGATTTAATTAGCAATAACAAAAAACTGATCGTACCCAAGGACCTTATTTTTAAAAAAATGTTAAATTCGTATCAGTATTCTTTCCAATTTTATATGAGAGCAATGAATCTTGTTCTTTGGAAACTCACGACTGGCCCGCCAGCGCTGTTTCTCTTTCTAGTTACAAACTAACAAACAAAAATGCCAACTGCGACATCACGGCGACGGTCATGCCGATAGTTTCTAGCTAGTCGAGATAAGCATCAGCGGTAGCGATATCACGAATCAAAAACAAATTTTCGGTCGGAAATTATATAAAAACTAATATTTACTTTTTCAAAAATTACGAAAATTGTGTTTTTTTAACGAAATTTGATTGCTACGTCGCTCATTAGCGCGAATATTCTTTCTCGTTCTCCATTTCTCCTAAGTGACGTTTTTAAAAATAATTTGTGAGCCGATGACGCGACATCGCAGCTACAGAAATAGAGGCGCTCCCGTAGTATGTGAACCAAGATGGCGGATACCGGAACGTAGTATGTGTTGCAGGTTGGGGTTAGACCATAACTTCTTCCAAATTTTCCTTATTTTAATTCTATATATCGAGTTCGGGACTAGCCAAGTGACTTTCGTAGTATTTGTACCTGAAATTATGGCCTAACCCTAACCTGGTACACATACTACGTTCCAGTGTCCGCCATCTTGGTTCGCATACTACAGGAGTATCGATCTGAATTAATCGTGTGGTGACATATTTTACGTAATTAAGTCGTGTTGTCGGCTTTCCTCTGTCCCATGATAAATGCTGAAATAAACATGGGAAAGTTCTAATATAATCTCATAATGCGATCCTACACATAATTTTTGATACTCCCGAAGTATGTGAACCGAGATGGCGGATGGACTAACCTTACCTGGTACTCATACTACGTTCCAGTGTCCGCCATCTTGAATAACATACTTCGGAAATACCCAAATTTTTACCAAAACAAAATTAAAAAAGAGATTCGTAAAACGAGCCATCGATTCATGACATTCGTCTTTATATGACTCGGTCGATTGTGACAAGTGTAGCAGTATCCTGATATTGCTTCACAAATATCTTATTTTGTTTTCATTTTTTTATTATTCTACTTATCGCCTGTTAGGCTTTGATTATTTTTATCTTAAGTTGAAAAAGTAAACCTATTAGAACCGCAAATATTTAAAAAAAAAGTTTTGTATCTGCTTTCCCAGAGTTTTGTTCGTAACGAAACTCTAGAAAATAACTATCAAATGCTATTTAAATTCGCCGTTTTTTCTACAGCATTTTTCGTCACTTTCACAGTTGAGTGCTCTTAAAAATGGGTCAAAATATGTTTTGAGTCCCAATGAAATGCGGTTATGACGACAGGGCGTTTTTTGCGTGAAAATTCGAAGGAATTAGAATTGTAACCGAGATATGTGGGCGAGGTGGCATAGCGGTTAACCACTTGACCAGGGTTGTGTAACCTTCAATACAGGAGGACAAGATTCAAATAACTGGTTGAAACTTCGGGCCGCACCTCCATTTAACATAGGTTTGCTAGAAGTTACGGGCCAAAAAATTTTGGTTTCTGGTCCCATGACATGCGTAGTTCTTGCAGCGCGAAGGCATTGGAATTATTCGCACATACTATATTAAATTACGGTAAATTAAAAACTTGTTTAAAAGGGCACACCATTTAAAATTGCGACTTATCCGGAGGACGCACAAATTTTTTTCTTGTGGGCTGCATTTGGCCCGCAGGCCA